CCTGTAGACTCGATTGATAAAATCACCAGTCTTCTTGGCCCAACTTGCCTGAAAAATGGGTTTTCCAGAATTCATCCTTAATTTTTCTTTGATACAGCTGGAGATAAAAAAATGTATCATCCTGGCTACCATCTTTCTCACATTGCTAAGAGCATCATTGCTTTTATATTCTGACACATGAACCCTTGAGAATCTGGGTCCTGATATTTGTAAATTTTGAACAAAATGTGCCAAGACTTTCAGTACTTTCTAGACTTATTGCGAATGGGCTGGTTGAGGATGTAGGAAATAGGGTATACTGTACAGTATTGACAAAAATAAATGGCTTATTTACAACTTGTCATAATATATGAGAAAAACAAGAGATGTGACAAAATATGTTTCTGAGGAATTGTAGTTTAAGACCATACCCACACACACAAATAGAATCTTGGTTCAAACATTTGTACTGAAATTAGTACTGTAGAATGATTAAGTTTTACCAGTACTGTTTTCATCTTGCTTTATGTGATGAATATGAATAACTACAGTGGGATTATTATTAGTTAATTTACTGTTAACTCACGCAAGCATCGAAAATGGCCATAAAACAATGGTAATGAATATAGTACAGTACTGTATTCATTAAAGTAAAATAAGATGGTTTTCATTTTAAGTTTTTGAAAAGATATGTTTGCTGTTAAAAGCATAATGCAGTAGCAGTTTACAGTTAGTAGTTGTTAACTACATTCTTTAACCCATGAATTCTGGTGTACTAGGTACTGTACTGTACAGTGTGTAGATGGGGTTTATGTGTACAGTATATCAGTGAGCTAATGAAAGTAGTGAATGATATTGAAGGTAACAAATCAAAACAACATTTAAGTAGTAAATTAATTAATTTGGCTATAAGAACAAAATATTACAATACACACACACACACACTCTTTACAGTCTACTTTCACTCAAGTAAACATTGGTGGTTGCTGGATGTGGGTTTGTCTTATTTTTAACCCAACCTGACAGTCAGTTTCATCTCCTCTACCTATTACTGTAGTCTTATTCATCTTCTTCATTCACAAGTATCATCCTTATGTATCATTTTAACCCATTAACTATACAGTACCTGGATATATGTCCTTCATGGCTTCCTATGACCATAACCCCTCATCCAGTCACCACCACAACTCTCACAACATGCTAATTCACATATCATTAAATAATACAATATCCTGACAGTCAGTTTCATCTCCTCTACCTATTACTGTAGTCTTATTCATCTTCTTCATTCACAAGTATCATCCTTATGTATCATTTTAACCCATTAACTATACAGTACCTGGATATATGTCCTTCATGGCTTCCTATGACCATAACCCCTCATCCAGTCACCACCACAACTCTCACAACATGCTAATTCACATATCATTAAATAATACAATATCATATTTTATTGAGTTGTTTGATAGTATTTATGTTTTTAGAAATTGAGAAGAACATAAGTGCATTTTTCTCAGTGAATACAGTGAAAAGGTTAAACCTAATGTGATTAATATGCCCAATGTTGTGTATGTACATGTAAGCAACCCTTAACTCCTGAACAGACTTAAGATTTTGGGTATAATTACTGTACAAGATTATCCTCATTAGCTTTTAATATTTAAATAATTTCCTTTATTTCACTGAATCTTATTTGCTTAATTAATATTCTTTTACCGCACTAAATTTCTTTCACTTATTAGTTTCTTTTCAACTGTATTCTCTCATTTATTTGAATCTTTCTTTTACTTTAACTGAATTCCATTTACTAAACTACGTATGTAAGCTGAACTGACTTTCACTTCCTCCACAAAGTGAACACAAAGAGTGAGGGAAATTTGCATATTTGACACCAGGTAGTGGTGGCAAGCTTTCAGTGTCTTCTTAAATCCCATGTTCATAACTATTGTACCTTGAGGTGTATGAGTGCGTGGACAGAATGATAATTAACTCCAGATTATCATAAGACTCCTATCCCATGGCCAGGACAGTTGGAGGGTATAACACTAGGGCAGGCACAGAGGCAGTCAGGTGGTCACTCATGTCAAAGCTCTGTAACTAACTCCCTTTTTATCTGGGGATCGTCATTAAAGCCTGTCACTATCATGTTAAAGCCCTAGACTGGCTAATTTTTGTCTAGGTTTTCCCATCTTACTGACAGGTGTCATAAAGGACACAATTATTTACAATGTAAAAAGAAAAATTCACTTGGTTTTGAACCTAATTATTCAGATTTTATATATACTATAAGGTAAATTTCTTTGAGGGTCTTACAAACCAAATTATGAAATGAGAAGAAATGGTGACAGATCCAAACCAAATCATCAGAAATTATATCATTTAGAATGTAGAGAGTTAAGGTAGCAAATGTTAGGACTGTGATGTTACAATAAAATACACCCATTACTGTGCAATGAATGTAATAAATTGGCAACAGCTTCTTGACCAAACAAATTATTTCATTGTTGAAAGACTGTAACTTACATCTCTAGGACTTTGTTGTACAGTATCAAAATTTAAGGCACAAGTTATCTACATATAAACTAGCAGTGGTGCAGAGATATGTTTTGCTCTGAACTTACAGTATAAAGAAAGATTTGCCTTAACCTTACTACATGGAAAAGGTTTGTTGAGTTGTGTGCTCATAGCACTGAAGAGAGCTATCATGACCTCACTACACAGAAAACCTTAGAATTGTAAGTTCATGGCCAAAGAAGACTCTGGAACATCTGGCCACAAGCTCAGCATCACCACAACTGTTATACAAATGTAATGTGGCTTCAACTGCTCTTTCTAGAGCATCTAACTCCAATTATTTTTGTGTGTATATATATATTTAAAAAATCATTATTATTGTGATGAAAAGGTGTCAATACCTGTACTCATAAAAATCCCCATGTTACAATGTATTGATGATTATATTACAGCAGGTTTCTGTGAGCAATTTGCAGATATGTATTTATATAAACATTTTGTTGATAGTCTGGTTAGCAATTTTCAACTGTCATATAAATGGTGTAGAAGTTTTAACAAACAGGTTGGGGATGTTTAGGTAAACAATTTGTAGACGGTTTTGTGAACAAATTGCAAATGTTTATACTGTATCAACAGATTGTAGATGCTTTTATGAAAGTATGCAAAGGTTTTTTTTTTAAATTTGCAGTTATATAATGAACAGTTGTATGTATTGGTTGTTGGCCATAGTTTGCCCTTCCCAGAACTGTGGTGTCTCATGTGATTGTGTGGATGTGTTCAAGAAAACTATCATTAGGGTCGAGGGCATTTTGTGATACACAGTTTGTGAATGTTTTTCAAATAAATGGCAAAAATGAATATGATAATTACCTTAACCTTTCAAAATGTAGTCCAAGTAACATATTTATGTGCCATCCTCAATTATTATTTTCTTTTTCTTTCGAAGCAACTACCTGTATAGTTGTAGTGCAGTAATGTTGTGGTATGAAAGTAATGAAGAGAAGAAACCCTATCATACACGTGTATTTTATTTAAAACTCAGATTAATTAGGAAAATTTTACACTTGTTGAAGATGAGTGAAAAGGGGTTAAGTGCAATTGGTAGTAGAAGTGCTCATAAAGAAATTATGTAAACTATGAAGGCAAACTTATTTGGAGTGAGAATTGTGAACTCTTGGAACAACCTGCCAGTGTGTGTTGTGATGGTACCGGGTGTGAGCTCTTTCCAAGACGAGACTTGACCAACACTGGAGCAGGTTCAGATACATTCAGGAGCCAGTGTATGCCCAGTACTTGCCAACAGTGCGTGACAGAGACGTGACCAACCACCCAAGCGGCTTCTTTCACGTCTACAACAAATGTAAAATTACACAGTATCACAGTAAGTTATTTCTGTTGAACATGCCGGGGGGCTCCCTGGCTAGGAAGTTAGGTATGGATAAGTAGGTTTCTTTGGTTAGGATGGTGCAGTCCTCTAACAATACTTGTGTTTCTTATCATCTAAGGTGAGGTTAAGTTTAATTTAGAAATAACACCCAATTTAACATAATTGTCCAAACTATGACAGTGTCCACTGCAAAACACAGTGCAATTGCTGGGTCTTTAAATTCATTCTCTTTGAAAAATTAGTGATGGGTTTGTCATCAGCAATTAACATATATATTAATATTTATTTGAGGTATACAAAATTCCATGGCATTGATTTGAAGAAAGATATCAAAAGACAATAACCAAAGTTTATTAGAGATTACAAAGAATCAGATGACTACAACATTACATGTATTGTACAGGTTGGCTCTGACCAATATAACACTATTAGTCCTCAGTAACACATTAATATAACATAATTATGTTCAGTTATGCATGATCAATAATGCATAACTCTGTTACATAGGTTTTATCCCATATTAACGATCGTCTGTTTTATGCAATTTAACGTAACGTATCCTAACCTAACCATTTAACTCAGATCGTAAAAATTGCCTAAAACAGACAATCGTCCAAGTGGGATAAAATCCTTACATCTTCAGTGACACATGACAAATATTTACACTATTACATGTTCAATGATGGAAGAATTACTTTTGTAATACAGTTAGTCTAATATATAGACCTACTTACAGTATGTGTAAACACCATGGTTACTGAAACACTAAAATACATATGGTGTAAACAACAACCTATCCAATACTGTACTGTATGTTAAAAAATTACTTTCTTACTGTCATGTCATAAATCACGTATCCAAACCAACCATTTAACTCAGATCGTTGCCTATCGTCCAAGTGGGATAAAATCCTTACATCTTCAGTGACACATGTGTTCAGAATTACTTTTCTAGTTAGTAGCAGTATGTGTGGTTACTGTACATATGGTGCTGTACTGTATGCTGTCATGGTCGATAAATTCAAGTGCTCCAATGGAACTAAAGAATGCCCAAATACTGTAGTGCAATGTGGGTACATGCACATTAAACAGGGCGGGTCCAGGAATATCAAAAAGGGAGTTCAAAAAGTTGTGGTGGCGAGCATAGCGAGCCCACCCAGCTAGGAGGGGGTGTGGGTGGTGCTGTCAGATCCCCTCCCCCCCCCCACGATTTTTTTTTTGAGCGCTGACCAGTATACTGTAATGTGCATTTTGAAGCCATGTGCATTTAATATTAGGAAATATTCTGAGGTCAATATTTGTCAATTTTTACTATACAATAAAACGCCTGAGTACAGTACTGCGTTAAAGAAGTATTGGAATTTTCTGCGGAAAAGGGGGGATTCGGAATTTCGGACCCCCAGGTCCGCCCTGGTACAACACATTATAAAGCCCGTAACTTTCTCTGTAGGTCGGCTCACGCATCAAAGAAAATGGGACCTTGGAGCTCATGGCGTCACGTTTTTCCTGATTGCCCACAAAAATTCAACAACAAACATGCCGAGCACTTGCAGTTTTTTCGGTGTTTATGTTTATCACAAATTAGAAACAGAGGTGATATAACTTTCCATCGCTTTCCGAAGGATAAAGAACTGATAAGAAGATGGAGTCGTTGTGCAAGAGGAAATACTTTATAAATGCCGAAAATACTGAAGTGTGCAGCTTGCATTTTGTGGCCAGTGCATTTGAGAATTTGAAATAGAAACTGCTTGAACTACCAGTACTGTACCAAGAAGACTTGTAAGGATTAAGATTGGAGTATTACCAACATTACAACTGCCATGTCTAAAAGGTAAGCCTATAGTATTAGTTTAGCTACAGTGCATGCCCAGTAATTGCCAGCAGATATTTAGGTGAGGTTAGACTAAAGATATCTTTGTAGACCGCACGCTATAGTAGCACCGAAAGCTATTTATGCAGCCCACTCTTATTTTCCTGGTCACACCGAAAGAAACTGTACACATATGTAATTTCACATTATGAAGATAGTTAGCAAAATTTCAATAGTAATGACAATTACTCAGGCTAAAATTTAGTCATCGTATGTGATCTCGGTCAGAGAGAGGTGGGCACAAAGAATGTTTCGAGGGCGACAGGTTCCCTTTCTTTGATACGTGAGCAAACCTTATATTCTACAGACTTTTGGGTCTAACCGAATTTTTCCTAATCGTCATAAACAACAATGAATAACTAAAGAATACATAGATTTATAAATAAATAAATAAATAACATTAAGATATATAAGAAATAACATTATTCATTGTGTTTTTTATAGCCAGAAATAAGAAAAGATCGATGGTAAAATGGGTACGAGTCAGTCTGCCAATTGTGTGATTCAGATAAGCTGCTTCTCATCTAGCTACATCAAAGTGCCTAACCAATTGACGGCTAACCTCTGGCCAGACCCAGTGCTGCGATCCTTCCCTTGACAATCTGCAGATGTGAAGTTTACACATGGTCTATTCACCATTTTCATCAAACATAGGAACACGGCGTTAAGTCATTTATTAACAAGCCAATCAGTGGCGAAGATGATGAAGTAAAATGTATAGGATTGATAGGTTTCGCAGGTCCAGCAATAAGGAAGAATAGCCTTAAATATATTTATCAGTCAGCTTGTTTCGATATCATATATTAACACGTCTTATAAATTGTCTAAAGTCCTGTTTTTAGTGAGCAGAAGATACAAGTTGAATCAGTGTCTACAGAACGTTCAACTACAACATTGCTAACTTTTGTAATAATATTATGTTCATGGATTAGCGTCAGCACATAAAATTTATAAATATAAACTTTTATGCAATCAGTCATCTAATTTGCATATAAATTAATAATAGATACAGTACTGATTAACCGGGACAAAGCGAATTTGATAAGATGTTAGTATTCTTCCTCTGCCACACGTGTGTCAAGCAAACAAATGAAGGGTATATGCTCTTTATGATAACCACGTGAGCTAGTTGCATATCGTATTTATATGATAAATAACTGGCCATGGTTACAAAGCTCGTGACGTGCTGCGGTCGAATTGAAGGAGTTTATTGAATTCACTCAAAACTCAATCAATGGTGTTTAAGATCAGTTAATTTTCCACACATTAACGCCACTTTCCATACAACTCAATTTAAGTAGTACATTGATCATGGGTCTTATTAATTTTCGGGTCAAATGTCAGGGTTGTTAGGGATAGAAATATAATTTCAGTTGTCACACGGTGATGTCGCTTTCCTTGAATAAGTCCATGAGCTGGGCGCCATTCTTGTGCTGCCGGGTGTGTTGGCGACAGCACAAGTATTATTTGTTGACAGTTGAGATTGAACAACTAAATTTGTTTCACAGTGTTGTTGGTACAGTAGTTCAAACCGTTAAGGCCCCACAAATGGTCAAGCGTGACTGAAAATCATTGTAATTGTGCAATCATTGGTTATGGCCACTCACTTACAGTAGAGATCGCACAATCTTCGGTTAGTGTGTGTGGCGCGGATAGACAACATGAGTGCTGAGGCTGCATGCATAGCAATTATCCTTCGTCTGAAAACGGAGGGGCCAAAGAAAAAAGGAAGGAAATTGTGCATTCATTACCACACACCGCCAGGTATGATTGCGCAATCGTCATGATTCACGACAAAATATGAGTGATTCCAATCATTTGAGCAAGTCTTCAACTCTAACCACACACGATGGAAATGATTGCACACTCACAATGATTGTCAGTAATACTTGACCCCTTTTAGCAATTTTTCTTATTGTCTGTACCAAGTAAATAGTGTCGTGCTAGAGATGTTGACAATGCCAGTAAAGAGAAGACGTGACAATGTCCTGATAGTCACCGTTGTGGACCGACTCATGTTTTATTTCTTGTAGAGGACCGGCTAAATTAATGACAATTATTAAGTATCATTGATAAATACGGCAAGAGAGTCTGTCAGTTACCGGGGTACTGGTGTCACCCAGGGAGTCTGTCAGCCACTAGGGTACTCGTGTCACCCAGTGAGTGTCAGTCACTAGGGTACTGGTGTCATCCAGTGAGTCTGTCAGTCACTAGGGTACTGGTGTCACCCAGGGAGTCTGTCAGTCACTATGGTACTGGTGTCACCCAGGGAGTCTCAGTCGACGGGGTACTGGTGACACACAACAGGTCACTTTGTTTTATAGTAAACTTATTAATATCATCTCAATTTTGTCTTTCTTTTGGCTGTTGATGTTTCACTCTGTAAACTATACCGTCGTACCAATTGAATAATGATTGTTTCTGATAACATGTACAAACACTGTCATTATTCCACTATGTCAAGCCACTGGTTTGATTAAACACAAAACTATTTGTATAAAGTTATCTGTGTTAATCACAACATAGTACACCTAAAATAAAAGCAGATCATTGTTTGGAGTGAGATAAATACACAGCAGATCATTTTGGTTTGAGATGAAGGACTTCACGGCCAGTTGTTTGAGGTTGGTCTCAACACATTGTTCTTACTGTTGGTGCTGTGGGCAGTGAGTGGTTGTGAGGGGTGTGTTCCTCCTCGTCTTCACCGCTGTAGGGACCGTCAAAGCTCATAAGAATGCTGGAGTACTGCACACGATCGCTCAGTATGTGCCTCTCACCCTCCACCCTCGTCTCTTGGTTGCTCTCTCTGCTGGGCCCAAAGTTCCCTGTTTGGGGTCGTCCTTGACTGTTCCTCTGCATAGTGGCCTCAGTCTGTGCTTGTAGCCGACGCTGCATTTTGATCTGATGGCGTTGATAACGCCAAGCCATAAAGAGGAAACATACCACCACCAGCAGGAACAAAACAAGGAAGAAAGGCCAGGAAGGAATGCCTTGACTCTTAGATTCATCTTCGCTTTCCTTTTGGTTCACTGTTGGCTCACTCGACCTGTTGCCAGTATCTAAAATCGGAAATATTAAAACAATATTCAGTTAGGTGTTGTTGAATATAATTTCACGATATTGCACTTCTTTATCTTTGGTTATATTGCAATCACGCCCTTGGTTGTAAATTAATTTGATGTGCTTGCAAGCAATCGTCAGTGATAAAATTAATTGAAAACGAGAGCTAAATCTTTATTTCTATAAAGACAAAAGCATTGTAATTTATAAATCACTCTCTGTTACTCTACTCTATATAGTGTCTAAGCCTTAATAATGAACATTTGCAGATACAATAAATATAATAGTCATGAGTGTGATAAACCAGGTGAAGAAGTGAGTTTACCGTAGAGGCACTGTAGGTCAACATCGGCGAGGCAGGTGGATGGGCAGAAAGAGGTGACGGCGTCGACGCCCTGATGATGCAGAAAGTCCAATAGAATGCGGGTGGTGTAATTCAGAGCGTTGGTCTCCCCGACCACTGTCACCACCAGCTTGTTTTTGTGAACATTGATCTTGAGTGTGCTCCAAGTGTTCGGTATGAGCAGCACCATCAGGCTCGTGTTGATTGACCTATTCTGGCTCTCTACCACCATCTCCACCAACATCATCTCGTCTTGCTGTTGTAATAATAATGTTATTAGCTTCTGTATTTGAGTAGCCTCACTCATTATAATGTTTAGTTAATAACAATTAGTAAGAGCTGCAGGCACTAAAACTTGTCATGGATAAAATGATGTGACATGGCAAATACACAGCGTTACTGATACAAATGCGTCATCTGAATATTTATAATCAGCTTGCTTTAGTTAATTTTCATGGACTAGTATGAACAGTGATCACTGCTGACATGCCCTACTGTACACTCCAACTGAAAGTTGTTGACTTTATGAAAAATTTTAATAAATATTAGTGGTGCTAATGAGATGAAGAAGAGAACACCGGAAAGTGATTAGGTCTAATGGGAGAGACATAAAGTAATGAGAGATTTACCGGAAAACAAAAAAAAAATTCTTAATTGGTCTGATTTATATGGTATTTTTCGCTTAAGGAAATATGAGAACTCGTGTAGATGGGTAATGGAGGATGATCATGTGTATATATTTACCATTGCGAAAATCTTTGTGATATGCATGGAAGAATGCTAAATATTATTAAGACTTTCCATTGAAGTAGAGCAAGTAAAAGATGAGCTGTCGTTAGTGAGTAGTGTTAACCGGTGTGTGGCGGCCTCACTATTACACACACTGCCCACCTCCCTCATTGTCTCCAGGTATTTGTACCACAGTGTCCCCGGGATGAATTCCCTAGCTTCTCCGTTTGTTTATTTTCTTGCTAGTCTGCTTGGTTGTACGGGCGATATTTCAGGCAATTTTTTTGAGTTATGAAACATAAATTTGGACAACAGTGATCAAGTGTGTGTGTGTGTGTGTGTGTGTGTGTGTGTGTAATATTACAGTAAATAAGAAGTGAAATTCAAAAGTTACAATCCTTAAGAGACCAGTGTACCTTGCCCTTGGTGGTGAGTGTCAAGTTGGTGTGTGTGTTGTGCTTGCGAGAGAGACCCAGCTGGAAATTGGCTTCCTTCATGGGCGGCATCTTGAAGGCGGCTAACACAGGCCAACCACGCGTCTCCACCGGTATCGAGTGATTTCTTGGCACACACTTTCCTAAGAAGGTAAATTAGTGTTACGCATCTGGTTTGCATTGATTGATATTTTTTTAACACATCTCTGCTGAACATTAGGGTTTCGAGGATAAAGACAGACATAATAAAATAAAATATATTAAGATTTTATTCTCACTGCTACATGATACTTGCACAAGCCAACCAAAAGTAACCTACCTGACCTTGTATTATTAGTTTATTTTTGGTTCAAGTAAGGTCATGTTTGGTTGATTTATGTATTTATTCATAATTCATTTATCCTGTAGTTATATTTAATGGCGTATATATACGCCACAGTATAGACATATTGTAACCGCCAATCAGGCGGTTAAAGGATTTAGTGAAACTTGTGACGTTGGACTCAAACATTATAATTTGGTCAAACTTGTTGAATACAATTCATTTTAGTATTTCACATAAGTCATACATAGGCAATCACATAAATGTCTAATCCAATATATATTTACATAACAATCATAGCTATGTAATTAGTTTAATCTTAACACTTACAAGGAGTACTTGATTTGCCATATTTTTATGTCGTTACAATGATAAACGATGCAATGGACACAGTCTACCTGTGTACACAATAAATACAAGTTAAACTTACGTGTTGAAAGTCTTCAGGAGAAACAGGTTAGGTGTTGGTGGTGTGATGGGGATAGCTAAAGTGAGGCTGGCGGTGCCCGGCTGGGCACCATATGATCAAGTTGGCCACTTCAAACTCACTGTGTCAGGCGTATTATACGCAAACAAGCTCACCTCCCACCACCCAACACCTCAACCTACTCTAGGTCTCTCATCTGCCTCCATCTCAACACTATATACTGTATACGGGCAGGCACGCCCAATAAACATGACATGAGTTACAGCCTAACATAACGTTTGTTTATGTGTCATAATTATGTACCGCTTGCGGTAACACATATAGTAACATCGATGACATTACCCTTAAGTACAGTTCTTTTCTAATCCCACACTCACCCTTGGGTACTATATCGCCCTAACAATGCCTTTTCTTATATTTTCCTCCAATTGTTCAATGGATGAGTCCACTCTTTCACCTTCTGCTGAACCTGTGCTCTCCCTTACCTCTACCGTGTCTATTACAGAAGTGCGCAAGACTCCGATTTGGCCTTTCACGCTCGCCTATTTGGTCTCTACTTCGGATCCCACTGATTTTTCCCTTTGATTGAAGTCTACTGAAGTCTAACCCATTCAAAGAGAGGGGACAGCTCTTATCCTCTCAACTATCATTCCCTAGCCTGTACATCAAACATTTCTAAAGTCTCTAAAGTTTTCCTATAAGCTCAAACATTCTGACATATCTGAAATCGTACTCTCTTCTTTTAGCTCAACAGTTATGATCATTTGTATGTAACTCACTTTTGTGTCTCCAGGACGGTGCACAGTGAGAAGTATGCAAAATGGCGGCGCCTAGAGTAAATTGGTCGTAAGTCTTTCTATAAAAGGGAGAGTTGCGACTTTACACTCGCCATCGCCATTTCGTAAACCACGCACTGTCAACCGTCGTGGGAATAAACACGGTCTAACTATAATATAGTTATTAAATTCGCTACTTACACAAGTTTCTCTTTGGCCTAAGCTAATGCCGTTTTAGTGAATAAGCTGATGACGTATTATTTGAGTGAAAAGCTTTTTATTTTTTTCCCAGAGTACTGGTACAATATACCAAGCGCCATTTTGTAAACCTAGCGCTTGAACCCAGTTGGCATAAATCTCATTATAGAAGGCGCTGGTGAGAATTAAACGTAAGCCATGACTTACTGTATTTACACACCCAACCAGTTAAGCTGACTGCTTGTTAACTTCTCACAAGTCCTTGTACAAACACTATTCCTTCCTCTTGTCTGATTGGTAATATTGTTTAATTTAGAAATATAGACTTTTCTATGATTATACAGTAGAGAATATGTTTTAGGAAGGGAATTATAAGATGTGATGAAACAAAGTTTGAAGATATACAATGTGAACTCCTTTATTATCGTGTCAATTAAAGTTGAAATAAATTTTTTGCACAATTTCCAGCAATTTGGTGGAAACATGCCAATTCTTTGAGAAACCGAGAGTTTTATTGACAAACTCACCGTTCTCGAAGAGTAACGAAACTGAAGTGATTTGTAAAGTTATTAGCTGAACCCAATAAATACAACAATTGATAGAAAAATTGCATGTATACAATGGAGGAGAGGCGAGGAACATGATACTTGTTGTGACAAAGATCAATAATGATTAAAAACTCTGACGTGCGGGTAGAAACGTACTTCCTTTGTTACGCTCAATTATAAATGTCATGACCCCGATATCTTTGTTGTAGTTGTGCAAGTTTTTATCTTCTTATCTACCCTCAGCGATTTTTTTTTATTTTTAGCTAACGTAATAATATTTTGGCATTAACTATACAGTATGTAATGATTTTATTTATTTATTTATACAGTATATTTTGGAGTCAACGATAAACAAATTTGCATTTTGGGTGTATAAACTGTGTTCACTTTAGGTTTTATCACTTTCGAATAGGCTTTTCATGTAAGGTCTTCTGTAAATAGGTTTTAGCCTTATTGACATTATTTCATCATCTCATAATATTATTCAGGATACAAGACTTCTTTTGACAATCCATCTTTAAGCTGCGTTCAGCACCTCAGTGATGCCTTACCCGATTGACTGACTCATTGACGAACTGACCCATCGCGATAGTTTTGCTCCAACCTTCCTTGGCCCCTCGACCCCCATATCACCCTTGTACTTTAAGAGTGAGGTTTGTCGGCGTGCTGCAGCGGCCAACTGTTATCACACTGATATTAACTCCCTTCCGTTTCCGTTTCCTGCATATTTTTAATATAACATACAGTATGTACATAAGATAACAGTGTTCTTACACCTCCGTTGTTGTATCTGCCTTTACAGGATGTGTTTCTAATCTGCTTGTGATTATACATATTCATCATAACACTCAAATACAAAAGCGATATTTAGTAAAGTCAGCGTAAATAAGATACAGATTAGTTACATAATTATGAATTACATGTACTGTCTGGTGGAAGATGGCGCCAAGAACGGAAACCAACAGGTCTTGGCCAACTGTTGTAAATGGCGGAGGAAGAGGGGGGGGACTGACGTCTATACTGAAGATTTCTTTCCAGACAAGTCCCGGCCTGACGTAATGTTTTGTCGAACGAAGCGTAATGTACCGCAAAGAAATATGTGAATCATACCAAGGACCATTTAGCGGAAAAAACAAAACACGAAGGTAAAATTAACAGTACGTTTAAGAAACAATTTCCTAATAGTTTTGAATATCATCAACACTTATTATCTCTTAACAGTACCCTGAAACCGCAAGTCAGCCGGTCAGTCCAGACAGTCACGTTACTCTGACCGGAAACATGGAAGCCAAAGCGTTTAAGGTACAGCTTCGGAGTCCATACGTTTTCTTTTCAGTGGAGTTGCAATATTCGTGTGAGTAACTGAAGAATACTGAGGATACTCTAGGATGAATAATGAATGAAAAAAGTGTAAGTGATAAATGTATTTAAGAGAAAAAATCTGGAAGAGGGAACTGTTTTATGGGTGATTCTTACGTTGTTGGATCTGTGTACTGTGACTTTCATACTGAATTTGATGTGGAGGTGAGTGTAGTACTGTATTCTGATATTATTACCTACTAAAGTGGTTAAAAATAGACCCATTTAGAGCTTTATTTACGTAATATAACAAAATCTGGCAGACGTGAGGCATGTCGGACCGTCGGTGGTTCGGAGACTGATGCACTTGCCTCTCTCTTACTATTATGACCTGGGTTCGATTCCCGGTCGAGTTGTATATGTGAGAAGGATGTGCATAACGTCCACTGTGATGCCACCAAACATCGCACGTTTTCCCCAGGCACATAGGCTAAACGCCAACCAGTAGCCTACCAACACAAAATATCCGACCTACTTCCCCCACCAGTACACCACTACACACACACACACACTCTCATAAGCACTCGTGTGAACAACTTTGCTACAGCATAACGATAAATATTCCAGTAATGTTCTCCTTTATTCCTTGTCTCCTCCATCTGGTATTGTAGTGTCTGGCTAAGCGTGGCAGCTACACAGCCAGACTATGAATATTAATGACCTAACCATGATAATAACTTTTCCTACATGAACAACCTCGAAAGATTCTGTTATCATGGCCCACACGCCATATATAAACACTGTACCTCACAAACCTCCATAGTTGGTTCATCCTCGACCACCACATATACATATACAGTACACCGTATTTAACAATAACCTTGATACTTGGTTCATCCTCGACCACACTGGTGTCATCAGTCGCAGGATGTGACGTTACCGGCAAGTTCGCAGAAAGAACAGCCCGTTGGATAAGAGGCGACGGAGCGGTGCTGCGATCAGCTATAACCTGTCCAGAACCTTGTAGAACAAGTGTACACCTTTAATTATGCAAAATATTGAGATATCGGAGATTATTGTCAACGAATATATTATTCTTATTATGAAATAAAAAATATAAAACGTCAAATGTTTATTTGAGAAGGTCACAAGCGTCACAACTGAATAATTCATTTTGCAGTTAGTGAAATAAACAATAACTGATTTCGATAAGTAAGCCATCATCCATGTTTACTATTTTTTAAACTAAAAAGAAATATAGATAAATTTAACTCCTGATTGTGACAGCCAAGGTTAGGTGAGATTAGGTTGCGTTGAGTTGGTTTGAGGTGGTTTACCCGTGCCAAGGAGGGCAAACTATGCCAGTCAGGGTTATACCGTAAATACCTAACTCATGCTCAATTATGTAACAATAGCCAATCTGTTTGTATATCTGTTTGTATTTTCAACTTTTGCAGTTATTAAATTTCACTGTAGGTCTAGTCGCCATTTCATTACGTGGTTAAATTGAATATTTGACAACACTAAACGCAGTTGACTTGACAACACTGTCAATACCGATTCTATTGATGATGTCCACCTTCGGCCCTTCACTACAGCACCAACATACACTAACATTCCACTTCGGAGGCCACAGCGGCCGTCGGTATGCTTGCTGATTATAAGAACAGCAATAAGAGTAATGATAATAACAATAATAGTAATAGTTATAACGACAAAATGAAGAAAATGAAGGTTCGTTCTGGGGGAATGAAGAGAGCGGAGAGGAAGTGTCAGCGTGATTAAGTGTTAGAATATTTTGTCGGTAAGTGTCGAGGGACAGGAAAGCAGGGATTGCTGCGCCACACCAAGAGAGTGAGTTCCCAGGCCCTTGTCTTCCGCCTCACACTGACAGTGACCAATGAGAGACTGGTCCTCCATCAGCTGAGGTGACACAGTATGCACGAGGTTGAGTTAATAGAAGAGTATAGTTGACGGTTGTGACTGGTTAATGTCATGAGCTACCAAAACGAGACACGCCCGTAAGTTAATATTTCTAGCTATATTTACTTATTTTCGTTAAAATTAAACTAGATATTTTATTGTTTGTAAAATCAGATTAGACCTTACTTGCTGACAAGAATTGATTATTAAGGACTTATAATTTAGAACACTACAGTTTGAAGAATCCTTTTTCAGTAATACTCAAGATGAGTTGCGCACCTTCACTACCTACTGTATTAAATTACACCATAAACCATAAATACTTTCTAACCTCATGGCAACGACGAAAAGTGCACGAGCAGCAGGCTTTGGATAATATAAATTCTATGATTTCTTCTTAGTGCAGGTAATGGACTGTGTTCCTCCAAACCGCTGTCAGACACCATATTGTTTTCATCTGGTCTTGAATGAGCTCACTCGGTGCCGTCACAACACTCTGGCAGGGCATCCACCAGCTCCAGGTATGAACAATTGACTGAGTAATGACATCGGAGGTTTATAGACTTCTATTAAGTCACCCCTTACCCGCCTATAGTATAAGCTTGGCAACTACAGGCGTTTTAATCTTTCTGGGTAACTAAGATGCCGTATAGTGAGGGTACCTGTCTGGTGCCCCTCCTTTGGACATTTTCCATCAACTGACAGCCTCCAGCATATCTCAAGGACCATAGGGGGTGACTACTCCAAGCGGGGAAGCACCTCGCTCTTGAGGAGGGTTATGAGGGTTTCACAATCTAGGTGCGTGAACGCCCTTTGTATAAGACCTACAAGCTTACTGTAGTTGTTTGATTTACCTTCTCACAATGGTCTGAGAGCTTCAGTTCGTTGTCAACATATACACCCAGGTCATTTTCGCATTTGGTCTCAGTCGATGATGCTTTCACGTCTCCTTACCATTGGTACGACCGAGGTTCATCCTTTTGCATTCAATCTTAACAGCCATTCCTTTGACTATACATGAAGCTGATAGAGGTCTTTTTGTAACATTTCACAATACGTTTGATTCCTAATTTCCCTGAAGAGCTTGGCATCGTCCGCAAACAATTGTGTAGAGTGTACTGTATACATTCTGACATACAAACAAGAACTGTCCAAGTTCACTGTCCTGTGGTACCCCGCTTGTCACGGGTATACATGACGATTTCGTGCTATTAATCACAACAAAGTCTGACCCACGCTAAGACGTTCCCCAGAATTCCGAACCGTTCCAGTTTAATTTTCAGCCGTTCATGAGGTACGCTGTTGAAAACCTTGGCAAAGTCTAGATATATATTATCGATATTACCATCACGTTCCAGGATCTGAGTGCACACATCCAGCACCTTAAGTAATTGCGTCAAGCACCTCACTCCTTTACATGGTTGTTTCGTATTGGACGTTCTATCATGGCATCCCTTTCAATACTATCTACTACTTTGCACACAGGGCTGGTCTAGCTCACCGGCCTATAATTATTCGTGCAATGGCGATCCCCTTGTTTGACTATAGGACTCACTTTAGTGTTGATTCTGTAGATACATGATTTCTTGTGAGCTGCGTGGACCTCGGTTAGTCTGGCTCATCTTGGTGATGTCCTTGATTTCATTGAGCCTTTTTTACCATTTCTGGAGGCCTTACAGTTGACGGTGCGAACACCGTTTTGTTCTGCCCACTTGATGCTGCAGAGGCATTTGTGAATAGTGTGATCAGGAGCGGCAAGATAAAGAGCTATTCCTGCATGAAAGATATTAGAGTTGAGTTGAATTGAGATACTGATAAACGTATTGTATTACAACATTTTCATCCCGGTGAGCCCCGTAATTCAATATAAAGTACAGTATATTCGTGCTTTCAAGTCTTTTTTGAACGAATCTTAATGAGTGGGTTAGAGCGGAGCTTTTCTGTCCATCTGTCATACGATGACTGACTGTAATGTGTTGGAAGGTTTTGTTGAGCAGCTTAAAGGTCCATAAAATATGCATCATTATTGGTGCAACAAATTGTGACCCATTGATGCATAACGTCTGTTGCATATTTCCTTAAAAATCGGAGAGACTGCATTTCGAATACAACTTGCATCGCTTCGTGGTTCAGCCCAAGAAAATTTTACATGCAGGACCAGTAGTGTACCACCACCACTATAGTCACTGCACTACAATGTGACCTTTCACTACATATATCGACGCCGAATTTACACTGTATACTGTATTGTTTCAGTGCTCAGGGCGTCGTCCATGGCTTGGTGAATTTCTTAACTAACTCTTTTAGACTTAGTCCAAGAACTTCATAAAATTCTTATTGAAAAGTAACATTTCTGTGAAACAGAAAATAATGTTTCCACTTGTAACGTTAAAACGTACTGTACTAATTTTTCCAGGTTTTATGATTATAAGTGGTAGTGCGAGTTTGACTTACCTGCTAAAGCTAGTAGCGGGAGGGAGGTCGCCCACCAGAGCACACTAAGGAGTGAAAACAGCGTCGGCAACATCATTTTCGTGTAGATTGTGGAAGATACTTGGGGGACTTCGTCGAAAATATCGTTCACTCTCAACTTAGCAGACAGACTGGAGTGTTTGTGTGGTGTCCATGTCTTTCCAGTGCTGGGTAACATCTGCTGTCGCAACTTTCAGGGAACCACGTCCAGTCATTTACATCTTTTTCCTAGTCCAGGAGGAGCGAACTTGAAATGACGTTTCTTACGGGGCGAGAAGAGCGACACTGGTGCCTTGACTCATCCAGCTTAGGCTCGTATCACTTCACTTCCTCTCCACACTTCCTGTGCCCACGAGGTCCTAGTTCGTTATGACGAACCTTTCCCCACACTCTAGTTAGTGTGAGCTTAGATCAAAATTAAAGTTATTCATCTTGTTTAACTATACACCCAGAATAAATAAAATACAAGTAAATACATGAACAATTTACGGCGGTGCGCAAAAAAAGGCAACATAACTCAGGTGTGACTGTTTGTTGCGACACGATCTACTTATGAATGAGAGATAAACACTTATCATAAAGGAATGGATCAAGATACTACGTTGATACGTAGCCCCGGTTTTCATTCATACCTGCATTCAATAGTCAAATTTATTTACCTTAAAAAAATCTCAACTTATCTACAGTAATGACTCAATTTCTCGTGCATTATAACTCAAATCATGCCCTCTCAGGGTTTAAATTGATACACCAGAAATATAACTTTAGACTTTAAGAATAACGTCTCTAACTAAGAGACTTGGATGTAAAAAATTCACCTCACTTGTCACTGACGAGTTTAAAACAGAAGTAATTATTTAATATATATTTTTTATTGAGTTCACGATGTCATTTCCTGTTTATTAAATCTCCACATCCAACGTAACCAAGTCCACAGATGTGGGAACACCCCCTTACCAAGGTCACCACACCGTTATCTTGAGCATTTAACCAGCTTAAAGAGGACCAAGCTGACATTACGAGGATAAAGAGGATTAAACCACCAACCCATTAACGCCCGAACTACTATGCGATCTATCCGGCTGCACAGGGCCCCCATCACTTAGGAGGCCGCCTCCTGAATACAATATATTTGTTGTTTAGTGGGTTTCTTATTTCATTTCTGATGTGTCGTGTGGTGGGTGCATCTCAAAACTGTAGGCGAGTGTTTCAGCCATCTGGCCCCAATAAGTCTGGGTTTTGGCTGTTTCTGTATAAAAACCTAGCAACTGATACTGATTTACTTTCCTGTTACATATATTTACATGTATGTTTGTATAACTTATGAAGATGATGTTATCATAGAAAATCAGGAATATACTGTATGTGGGTGAGGGACCGGGCACGATGGGAGGAAAGCCCAGGGGGGTTGTCTAACCCTCTAAGTCTAAGGAATGGGGCCCCTCAGAAGATATATATGTATATATATATATATATATATATATATATATATATATATATATATATATATATATAAAGTATATTTATACGAAAATAATAGATAATCAAATGAAAATAGATAGTCCGAGTTTGCTTTTGTTGGACGGTTGTAGGCAAGACTGAACTAAAGATCTATCTGAGTAACTCGAAGCAGATATTTTACTTAATCTCTAAGCAAGTAGACCTGTTGTAATGTAGTAATAGATTAGTCACTTTAGTGTAAGCTACTAAGTAATTAAGATTATTTTTTGCTGAAAAAATTCTTTCACCGTGAAAGAAGGAAGATTCACGTTGTTTGAAACTTTAGAGGTGCGAAATTGGCGAATTATGGGTGCTTAATTACTTAGCAAACTAAAGTACCAAAAGAATGTTGTCATTTCTAAGTTAACCATGATTCTTAAATATCAAAGCAGAGGAATAATAAAAATAATTGTATCGTAATTTTCAAGATGTTTGTGGTTTTCGTTTTGTATTAATTTTTTCAAGCTTTCAATGTTGTGGTAAAGTTTTCAAGATCTAGCAAAAAATTTCAAGCAGTGGAACTGCTAGTACTAGTGTGAGCTTGCAATACATCCACTTTTAAAGTCCAAACAGGTTTAGACAAGAGTGCTGTAATCTGTTAACGGTTTATAATCACTGTTACTGTGACTTTTTTAAAACAGTTTTATATTACGTTTTTATTCTTTTTTACTTTCATCCTCTTCGCCACTGGTCGGCTTGTTAGCCGCTCGGGCGATCGGTCACGTCTCTGTCACACACTGTTGGCAAATACTGGGCATACACCGGCTCCTGAATGTACCTGAACCTGCTCCAGTGTTGGTCAAGTCTGGTCTTGAAAGAGCTCACACTCGGTGCCGTCACAACACTCTCTGGTAGATTGTTCCAAGAGTTTACAACCCTCACTCCGAAAAAGTTTGCCCTCACGTTAGACGACAAAAAAAATGATATCTCAACTTTATGATTAACTCTAGAAACAACCAATCAGTGGCGAAGAGGATGAAAGTAAATGTAAAAAGAAGGGTGGTTATAAATGGAGTGCATTCTAAATGGAAAAAGTTCTCTCAACTGAATATAATCATCTGAAGTTAATTAGAATGAAAAACCTAAATACGAAATTACTCCTTAAAGGGTTAAATAGTGTAAAAATAACTAAATTTAGATACCTATATAATTACAAAGAGAAGGGAAAGCGGGCTGGATCATGGTGAGTGAGGAGAAGGTTTAGTTAAAGTGAGCAGCGTGTTGACTGTGAAGTAACTTGGTGTCTGTCTAGGTCTCCGCTAACGTTGGGTAACATGGCCAACGTATGTAACTTTTCCCGCTATTGGATTAATGTGATCAGTGCATCCAGACAAAGGTGCCTAGGATCAGTCAGAAATATTGCTGGTAGACCTTCACCAAACTCTTCATACAATGCCATCCACCAAGAACAGTCTGAAGGGAGAACATGGACGGGTCAGTGCAACGGGTTGTCCACGGATATTCCTTCTAGAAGATTATCTTCTATGGTGTATGTGAAGTCATCTCCAACCGTCCTCACCAGAACACTTACTCCCCACACTTTGGTAATACGTTAAGTTGCTTATAATTATTACAAAAGTTATTACACAGTCTAAGGTGTAACCGATTTCCCATGAGATCGAATTGTAACCTTACAAGAGCGCTACAAAACTAGTGGTTTATGGTATTTTTTCGGGTTTTTCATTGAGTCGTTTGTTTTAATTAAAAAAAAGACATCCAGTTTGGGGGCAGGGAAAATAGGCACAGTACAGGATATAGGTACAGCAGCCATATGCAGAATGTAGAGATGTCTATTGGTACAGCAGCGGGTTAGGCGGACTATACAATGATAGTCATTAAGATGGCCTTCTCTCTGACAAACCTAACCTAACCTTACCTAAACTAATCTAACCATTAACAACACAATCTATCAATACAGCTGCTGTACCTATATCTGGTATTATTATCGTTTCGGTCATGCAGCAAATTGTAGGATTTTAAGTTTAGATTATGTTAAGTTGAAATTATGTTTTTCCTGTGGTTTTTGATGTGTATTGAACGATCCAGACTTGCTTCCAAAGAGGTGCATGACCGAAATTATAATTTTACCGGATATCCAGTGTGATTTTTGGCACAGTGGGTCTTTCACGCGTTCTTCCTCTAGGGCTTCTGACTACCGTAAAGATGTTATTTTTTTAATTACGATTCGTTATTTAATAGTAACGTTACTTGTGGAAATATCTTACAATAATCTAGACTATTGATTGTAAAGATAAAATACCTAACATTCCTGTGTTGTCTGAAAGTAAAATCATACCAAGATTTTGTAGAGTACTGTACAAAACATGGACTGAAACCTATATATTTATTAATTTTAATAGCTACTGTATATATAGGATAATAGAGCGTATGAAGATAGGAATTCCTTACCTGTATTGATTTGTATACTGTATAGGGATACAGAAAATTAAATAATTAAAATACTTTAGTCTATACAGTAGCATTTTCATTGGAAATTTAAATTTTTCAAGTTTTTCTGACTTTGATTATAGGTTTGCTTTTTCAAATTCCCTTTGTATTTATGTTTTTCTTGTTGTGTTAGGTTAAGTTTACACATAGGAGATTGTGTCAGGTCCTTTTACTCTCTCTAGTTAGGAAGAGTTAGACACGTTTACTGATATTTGAGATTTGTTAGGTGAGGTTCTTCATCTTTTTGTTTGCCAAAAAAAAAATTTCCTCCACCATTTTTGGGATGATCTTGATAAACTGAAGAACTTTTCTTCTATTTTTGAAAAGTTCTTAACTCGGCTCCTTAAGGCCCACTATACACAAGCGTGTTTTTCCCACGCGTGAAGACACGCTCAGTTTAGAAGTTAATGAGGTTCAGTGGGACTGTTCACACGGAACTGGTGTGGGAAAATTCACGTGTGGGAGAAACTCACCCCATGCCTATACAGTACTTCCAAACTGCATCGTAAAAAAAAAAAATGCCCATATGAACACATGCCTTCTCATGTGTGTAAAATTTACAGCACGGGACAAAAACACTTGCGTGAAGCACATAATCTTTCTGCAAGTTAAAAATGTTTTGGACAGCCAATTTTTCTTTTGCTTGCCTGAAGGACAACTAGAAAATTAAATATCTTGTGAGCCGTGCTACTCAGTGCTTTTATAAATAATGAATGTTATTAGGCTTGTCTTGTATTTGCAGGATACCTTGTGCAAGATAGTACAGTATTGATTAAATTTAGTTATATAGCTTGAATAATAAAACAATTTTGCTTGCAACTGTCCATTAATTACTGTACAGTATATTGACATATTTTTATTTATAACAGATGTGTCGACGTAGCTATTGTTCCAAACCTGAAGATGGCAGTGAAGGTGCTGGTGATGGAAAAAAACAAAATGAGGTAATAGTGGTTTTATTGTTATCCATGCCTGTGGATTTCTTTACAGTAAATTTTGAGTTACCTGTACTGCATTGTATTTGTTTGCCTTCAAAAGAGCTCAGGCTCTCAATTGGCTCAGCCATGCCAATATTGTTATCATCATCAACTCTGTATCTGTATTTTTCTAGCAAAATAAACTGTTTCAATATCAATATCAAAAGAATAATGTACTCTACGCATTTAATTTTTCTGGCTTTACCCTCTGTCAGGCATCTTTCATAATGTTGAATGACTTATCAGGGGGTTCTTGAGTCCACCAGACAGGACCATCAACATTAGCCTCGGTTAATTTGTTAATTCCTAGGATAAACTTGTTATACTTCACTTCCTCTCTGTGTCATCAGCAACAGATGAGGACCACATGACACAGTAGTTCTGGAGTACAGTTATACCTCACTATATGTTTGACGTGGCTTCTTTAAAAGTGCAACTTTAAGTCAGACAAAATATAGAGAACACAAGCTAATTCTTTTTCATTCTTATTACATGTCAGGATGATGGAAGTGAAGGTCCTACAGTGCATAACCTTCCTGCCACGATGATGGTACCAGATGTATGGCCTAGTGTGCCTGTTATTGCTATCAGCAGAAATCCAGTCTTTCCACGATTCATCAAGATCATAGAGGTACTCTTAACATGATTTTACTTTTGTATATTATTTTATGTTTTGGAGTTGATTTTCTGTGAGTTATAACTATATTGAGAGTAGTAAGTAGAACTACTGTAGATGATACTTGTTCTAGTCATTATGGGTCAGAAAAGATAAGAGGTGATTTGTGAGGAATTACTGAAGCTTCGGGATGTGAATACTGTAGTGCAGTAATATTCACTTGTGGTGAGGAAGGTCAAAGAACAGGATACATGTAGGAGTTGTCTCAAGACTGATAGAGGTACTTACTGTATTTATATAGGAACAATGATTATGAATATAGTACCAGTGGTTTTTCACACTTTAGATGATCTTATCCCTCTTTTATGGTCATTTTTTATTCGTGCAAGGGTTAGCCATGATTACCTGATGGCAGCTCTCCATGCTGTAAGTCTTTTGCAGCCTCACTCATCAGGTTATTATCTCTTGAGATCATTTCTTACAACCTCTCCCCATCTCACTCTTGGCCTACCCATAGCTGTCCTCCCCTCCACATTCAAATACTGTACATACTGTATGTCTCTTGACCTTGATGGTCTCCTCCATTCTCTCCATATATCAACTTACTTCGATTTAAAACCTTGCTGATACTCTCAATACCCAGATGACATCTTAGCTCCGAACAGGGATATCTACAGTATCTTTAAGTGTCATATCACACATCCACGTCATCATTCTTATTTCAACTCGCCCAAACCTATACAGGTCATTCTCCGTAACTACCATGTTTCACTGCTGTACAACATCACACTAAGCTTCACATGCTGATTGCATACATATTTTCTTTCATATGGAGAGAACTTCCTCTTACTGTCAATAGAGGCATCAGCTCACTAAACTTCCTCCAGCCACTTCTCACTTCATCACCTCCAGTACTGGTTATCTCACCCAGGTAGCTGAACTCATACACATAGTCCAGGGATATTTTCCAATGTTGAGCTTCTCCAGCCTTACATGGTTACAGAATATATGTATAGTCAGACCATAAATTACTTTTACCCTTCGGTGTTGGACTATGACGAACTGGCAAATTTTTTTTATAAAGCTCTGGTATCTGACCCCACATTTGTAGCCCTGTTTTCCTTATATGGGAATACTATGTGGAAGTACCAGTGGCACTATTCTTGTCACATACCATAAAGCAATTTCCTTTTTTATGTAATCAGCTGATCAAAAGTCTTCGTTAATATTTATTTAGTGACCTTGAAAATTTATTTATTGAAACATATAGTACTGTAGCAGCTAATCTCAAATCCAGTCAAATTGAAGAATTGTGGGAGGTGGGACTGTCCCATGAATCCCACCTTAAGCATATGCTGGTTGTTGTCAGTCAACGGATTTAAAGCTTGTTACCTCTTAATGCAATAATTACAATTATGAACAACTCCATGGAATTCCTCACTCGGGGCACCAAATGGGAATAAATATTTCTCTGGGTGTGAGAGTGGGAGGTGGAGCGTTGCTAAGGGTTGACAGAGGCGGTCGGGCTGCATTGCTCTGGCGATGTTTGAGGACAGCCATGCATGAAGCAGCCAGCTTCTATGCAAATGGCACTGCTGGCGGCTTTTTTAAACGTTGATTAGCTTCAACCTAATAGTTTTAGACTGCATATTATCTTCTAGATAGTATTTTAGTTGTATTTTTATTGTTAGGTAGTAAATTACAGTAGTTGTGTACTATTTTTGATTAGTTAGGTATTTTTTTTATCTTGTTTGAGAACCAATTTTGTGTTTTGGTGGTATAATATTGGGGTAATTTTGTCATTGGGAAGCCAAGCCCTATTTTTCCCATTTGTTTCAAGATACAAAAATTCAATGAACAAATTTATTTTTTATTTTATTTATTTTTTAACCTAACCCTTTCATTTATTGAGGGATACCTGTAGTTATATAGCTACTATTATTTATCATTAATTAGGTAGGTTTTTTGTTGTTGCTTGTGAACCAATTTCATGTTTTTGGGGTATGGTATTGGGGCTTTCTTGTTATTGGGGAAGGCAAGCTCCTATTTTTCCCCTTATGTTCTTTTATTCGTTATACGAAAATTCTCTGAAATGCTTATTTCGGAACCTAACCCATTCGTATAGCAAGGGACTCCTGTACTGTAGATGGGTTAATGACAAGAAACTTACTGCATAGGCCATACTGTATGTTTCCTTTTTTAACAGGTTGGAGATAAAGAACTCATAAATCTTATAAGAAGAAAAGTTCGATTGAATCAGCCATATGCAGGAGTCTTCATGAAGAAAAATGAAAGGTTAGTATATCTGATTTTTATTCATAATTAACCATCTTTTCTTATAATGTATTGTAAAGAGATTTAGGGTACCTCATTTTAGGAGTTAGGCATCCCTGTTTAAAGCTAGATTGGCAAAAACCCAGGTTTTCCTATGACATCCCCACACAATTTTTTTTTCTGTCATGAGTGGGTTTTTATTATGTAAGAGTCATCAGTGGGTGTATTGTGAGATCTGAACTGATAAGCACCATCTGATAAAGGCTGGTTATTGCTGAAGTGCATGGCAATACTGCAGTATAACTACGTACAGGAAATAATACATACAGTATTCTGGGTGGCAAAGCAACATTATGCTATATATTTGCTGCAAGCAGCTCTCTCACCCAGTTGAATTGAAGTTAAAAAATTTAATATATTTGTAGTAGTGGTTACCTTGGATCCAGTGCGACTTCAGGTCAGGAGGTTGAAATCCACATAATTTTAATCCCTTTGGCTATAAATGAGGGAGTGATCCTGAAATTCATTTAACCCTTTATGTGCAGGGTCTTTATCTGCTGAATAAAATTGTCTGGCATTAGCCAAATAAAATAATAAAAGTGGTATCCCCATAGTGAAGGGGATAATAATTGGGCTGAGGCAATGGCCCTGTAATGGATGTCAAACCCCCACCAGCACTGATGTTCACCCCATCATGTCTTGACCATAGCAAGTAGAAAGTATAAAAATAGCTTATCCTTCCACCACATAATTGGACTCCTCGTTTAAAAGAGAAAATGGCTTCCAAAGGAAATGTATCTTGCCATTCAAGACAGAATGATCTATGATCTCTGGACTATGATGATTACCCTGAACCATACCTCGATTTTCCTTGATTATTCTGATTTTGACACACAGGCCAAGTTCTTGCTGTTTCAGTTCCTTGACCAAGGAGGAAGTTTACCCACAATTAAGAATGGAGTTTTGACCCCCATAGCCTCATTTTATGACTAAGTCTAGATTAAACAACTAACATTTCATCCCAATAAGTTATAAGGTTTAAAACCCATGACACCCATAGAACATGGTGGCTGACACTAATTTATGAGTTACTTATGCCTTCCAGATGAAATTAAAACTCTTGTTGGAAACGGCAATCACTGACTACTTAAGGCTGAAAGCAACAAGGCATGATGTCGTGTCGGCAGTATGCATCTTGCTCATCACTATAGATCACTTTCAAGAATAATGATGAATCACTTATAAAAAGCTAAAATGCTCTCACAGAATCACACACATTTATTTAACTGACTATACTTTAAACCATTCCACATTAAATGTTGGGGACTATGCAATAAAGCCTGATCAAACATATTACTGTACATGCAGATTTTGCACACATGTGTAAACTGTTCCACTCTTGCTGTACCACCCAAGTCAGTCAGTCACTCTACACCAACTTGTTAAAAAATGTGGAGTGCCTTCCTTGAGCCTGAAAACGTTCTGCACCCATTGTTCTGGCTAATGGGGAGTTTACTGTACAGTATTATAGTTATAAAGAGAGCTAAATGTTGTATTGTACGCTCTTTAAATTGTTACAGAACCTTTCATAATGTGTCATCCATGAAATCAATAATTTTAACTGCTGACTTGGTACTCTTTTACAATTTACATGATGTCAAAAGTCCTATTGCCATTAAGGCATATTATTGTGAGTATATTAGAAATAGATACAAAAGGAATAAAAAATTTTGTTTTGTTTTTGTTTTCAGTGATGAGCGAGAGGTTGCTGACACAATGGGTGAGCTTTATCCTGTGGGCACGTTTGTTCAGATTCATGAGCTGCAAGACATGGGTGATAAACTGAGAATGATTGTGATGGCTCACCGACGCATTACTATGACAGCTGTCTTACCAGATGAGCCATTAGAAGAGGAACAGGAGCTTTCAAAATCTGGGAAAGGTTAGTATGTTATCACATTGGAAACCAAGTGTCAAGGAGCAGCTGATTTTTATTTTTATTTTTTTATTTTTAAAGAATTGCAAAGAGATTTTCATCTCTTTTAATGGCCTCATAATCTTCAAATAATTTTTCTTAAGGCTTATGAAGTTTCACAAGTGACTTGGAAAGTTAAACCTCTACCAAGTACCCTGGATTGAGATTGCATGTGCCCAGAAGGTGTGCAGTGCTTAACAATAGAAGATGTAATCCTGGTACACATTGTTATGCTGCAAATGATGAATGCAACCAAACAATTCTCAATTATTCTAATGACTCTTCATGAATCTGGTATTGTCTCAGAGATCAGTGATAAATGAGGGCAGAGTTGTGATTCCTCAGAGCATTTACTCAAACAGATTCAGCCACGTAAGCAGGTTGTACAGTACAGTATAGTATCACAATTCCCAGACGTCCTGAACTCTTGCTACATTTTAACTTAAAACTTGTGGACATGCTTTGAATTTGGAGAGAAGTGCTTTTCTTACGTTTTTATTTTTGTTTTTTATCTTATTCATAACACAGTTGGGGCTTTTGCTATTCAGTGTTTGGCTACATTTAATCTTTGACTGACCAAGGTGAGTTTTAATATGGTTTCCATTTAGTTGTTGTTGACCTAGATTTACATAGATACCTGTTGCTCCCAATGGTCTTTATTGGAAACCATGTTGAAGAAATATACAGTATGTCTCTCTCAGGTAAATATTGGTTTGTAGTTAGGAAGTGAGTTGTGGTGTGTGAGGTGGCATTTTAATGTTGACAGACTTAATTTTAGATACTGTAAATACACCCTCTACACACTAGCCTACAGTAACCAAACGCTGTACACTCTTATTTACTGTACTGTACATATGGTACTTACGCACTTACAAAATGTACAGTATAGTACAGTATATGTAACTAAATAGACACTTTTTGCATCTTATCCAGCACCTCTTAATGCCGTAGGTGCCAGATAACAGGGTTCTATTGTATTAAGAAATTTATTTAATTAAAGTTTATCTTTGAGGTAGTTTATACAGTACCGGGTATGTAACAGTTGCCAGTGATGGTCTCAAAGCAGATGCATGTGGAATGTTGCAATAATTTTCAGCTTATGCTTCAATTTCATGTTGCTCTTCTTAGCCACTTTACAGTTCTGTACCACTATTACTTACTGAATGCCTAGAGACTATAATAGTATAGGAATTGTGGGTACTTTAATGCAAATAAAATGCCAATCCAACATGATACATAGCAGGGTTGGCAGAAATTGTGGCACGCTTATGTCTGAAACAACAAAAATTTTGATTCTGCACAGTAATTTGAAAAGAACTTTTTTTCCAATCCTACTCTTTATTGTTAAGTAGTAGAGGTGTTTGTAATATTTTAATAATAATTTTAGTACAAAAACAGTAATCTGTGATTAAATTTAGTTGAATATTATTTAACAGTAAAATTAAATATCTAGTCAACTAATCGGATATCACACAATGAAATATTGTACACTGTACAACAGAATTATAAAACTAACCCAAACAGAGTAGACTGCTTTTAATTATAATTTAATTTTTAATATAAATTTGAAATGACAAATTAATAAAAAGACAAACAATGGGGCTACATACAATGATGGTAGCCAGCACTCGGGATAAAGAAATAAGGAGTCGAGGTCATATTCCATGTTTCTTGTTGTACTGGAGTGCTAACCATTGATTAATTTGTTGAATGTAAACAAATTTTTTTCCCTTAAAGTAAAAATTACAGTACAAGGGGACCCCCAAATTCGTGGATTATTTTTTCGCGGTCCTCTATTATTCGCGGAGGACATTCTGGATGTACCCAAGAATGTTTGTGGGTAGTCTTAAGGTTGTCAGCATTTTTGCGGCTGGGACAGGGAACCATTCGTTCTAGAGACAGTAATTTCCTTTACCTGTATTGTAAATATGTGTGTGTGTGTGTGTAGACACACGTACACAAAACACATACAAATAAATAAAAATGGGAAAATGCTCTCACAAATAATCAGAATTTTTTTTATTAAAAATGTGACAGTCTACCCTCAAGTCTGGGCTTTATTTATTAAAGCATGGACTTGAGGGTAGACTGTTACATTATTAATAAATTTGTTTCTGGTTATTTGTAAGAGTATTTTCCAATTATTATTTATTTATATGTGTGTGTGTGTGCACGTGCATTCATGTATGCGTGTACACACACACACACACACACACACACACACACACATACCGTATATACCATTGACCACCGAAGGGTCAAGACGTACCTGGCGCTCCTCTCAGAGCAGCCAGGTCAACTGTTATGTTGGCCCATACCAACTCCCTCCCCTGAACCCTCCTCCCCACCGGAATATCAACAAGTTCACGCCAGAAGTTACTATTTCATTTAGGAAAGAAATGGAACCAGTGTTAAACAGAGGTGAACAGTGGTGAACAGTGCTTAAGTCAGTGAGAACAACTCAACAGTAACAGTGGTACCCAAGTTGACCTTTCACACAGTGAGGTCCCAGGTACCCAGTGATAACGGCCCGTGAGACCCAACTACCAGCGATGTGTTAATCCGTCTACGATAGGAAGGCCTGGAACCACACCTCACTCATATAACACCATCTGTGAGGGAATTACTACACCACGTGAGGCCCCTCATAACACCATATGTGAAGGAGTTACTACACCACGTGAGGCCCCTCACAACACCATCTGTGAGGGAATTACTACACCACGTGAGGCCCCTCATAACACCATCTGTGAGGGAATTACTACACCACGTGAGGCCCCTCATAACACCATCTGTGAGGGAATTACTACACCACGTGAGGCCCCTCATAACACCATCTGTGAGGGAATTACTACACCACGTGAGGCCCCTCATAACACCATCTGTGAGGGAATTACTACACCACGTGAGGCCCCTCATAACACCATCTGTGAGGGAATTACTACACCACGTGAGGCCCCTCATAACACCATCTGTGAGGGAACTACTACACCACGTGAGGTCCCTCCTAACACCATCTGGGAGGGAGTTACTACACTACGTTTTTGCTGTTCAACACCTACATTAATCTGTATGTTCACTGTATGTTCCTTTACCTTTCTCTAATGAAGGCTTTTGTTAAACCACCAATGTATGTAATAAGTCATTTATGCCCAATGTATATTTTCAGCCTTCGGGCTGCAGAACTTTTTCAATAAACCGTTAATTATTATTATTATTATTATTATTACAATACAGCTACTCCTCGACTTACGACATACTCGACCTACGACCAAAATTTTGCCAAATTACGTATTTTCGAGTCCCAATGTTAATGACTGCGCTGTGTACTGACAAAATTTTCGTTTGAAATTCACTTTAAAATGGCTGGCAAGCTTAAAAGTGAGAGTTTTGTGGTGCTGAGAAGAAAAAGAGACACCCATTTTAGATTTTCTATGTATTATTTAAACATTTTTGACTTACGACTAATTCGACATACGACCTGGATTTGGGTCCCTAACCCCGTCGTAAGTCGAGGAGTAGCTTTATAGGTCAAAGAAATAGTTGTCCTAAAGAGCAAGCACATAAAGGAACTACAGGTAGTTCTGCTATAACGCGATAATTGTGTTCTTGTAAAATATCGTGTTATAGAAAATCGCGTAATAGAAATAACAGGGCTTATGGAGAAAATAGGGTTAGGTGCAGATTACTCGAAATCGAAAAAATTTAGTAGTTAGCCTAACACAAAGGATAGCACAGTCTAAATAAATGTTACATTCATATCTAATAATGAAATCATACAGTAAATTTAACACTTTACCTTGAAAAAATATGAATGTAACTTGATGGGGGAGAAGGGTGATTTTGAGGTTGATAACATCAAGCTTCTCTTCAAGTGTTATATCCTTTCTTTTACGATAATCACCGGGAATTCTATCATCAGAATGCTTTTTGGAGATATTCTTCTTTACCATATTCACAGTTAATACCACAAAATTGGAGAAATAGTAAGCAAAAATCGCGTTATAGCAAACAAGCGATCGCGTTATACAAATATTGTTCCGAATTCATAAATCGCGTTAGAGCAAATTCGCGTTATCAAAACACGCGTTATAGCAGAACTCACTGTATACATTTCTTTGTACACAAGTAAAAATGTCCCCCGTCAGCAAATGTTATTCACGGAATTGGCGATGCGTGGCCATTTTGAGAACCTAAACCTCGTGAATAAGGGGGGCCCCCTGTACAATGAAATATAATGGATATACAGTATAACAGTTGTAATTACTTAAGTTGTCATTTCTTGAGTTTTCACATCAATTAAGTACTGTATGCACTTTGAAAACAAAAAGATAACTTGGTGAATAATTTTATTATTGTATTCTCTTAGTTTTTGTTTGTGGTTGAAGGTCCATAGTGAATATAAATTAAAAGTTTTCCGGCAATTGTATTTTTGGGAACCAACTTAGGAGTTTTAGTTGGCAGTCTGCACTGCTCATTAAGTAATGTATGTTATCAGATACAGTGCTTGTAATGTTAGAATGGAGAGGAAAATACTGTACAGTTAACCTTTATGTAATTTGTCATTGCAGCTAATGTTGAACTACGACTCCCTCCTTTCAATACACCCATCACTGTTCCTCTTGAAGACAAATCAGGTGGTGAGGAGGACTCTGGGGACAGTAAACTACGTAGATTACTCAGAAGAAGGCGGAAACAACCAGAAGAAACTGGACAGGTTCTTATCAATTAAAAATTTTCAGTAATTATATTGTACAGTAATCTCACACCAGCCTTGGGTTTACCAACCATAGTTTGAGTATACACATTATATATTTTCTACTCCAATTTACCAACCACAGCATCTGGTTAAGTATCTGCAGGTTTCCACGGCTACTTCAAGAGATATTCAGCCTAGTGCTATGGCAATGTTTGCTGGATCAGGTCTTATCAAGTTGTTTGTTTTATTCATTTCATTGTACATATGTTCCTCAAAAAAACAGTTTAACCTTTACTAATTTCAGATCTTTCTTCCCAAACCTCTACTGTACAATGAAAACCATAGTCTGCAAGTAATTAGCGTTAGAAAAGTACAGTAATTAAAATTTTTGAGATGTCACTTGGACATGTAATTACTTTATAGATATCAAATTGTGGACAACAGATCCTTAATCATCATGTTCAGGAATACATAAATATATTGATATTTTGAACAAAATCGTTAGATCAAGATTATGGCCAAAACGATAAGCGTTACCCCTAGTAGCCTCAGTTAACATCATAAGATGGCCATGTATTCATTTATCTTCATTTAACAGACTAGTGAAGATGCAGCTGCAGCAGAGACTGAAATCATTTCAGAGAAGGCTGATGCCTCCACTCAAACTCCGCCACCACCTCCAGCCCGAGTCCTTATGGTGCAGGTTGAAAATGTTTCTCATGATAAGTTCCAGATCACCGAGGAAGTTAAGGTAAGAGTAACTAATAATAAGTTTCTGGTCACAGAAATTTGTGTGGTTGTAATTTTTGTAATGTTTTTAAATGAAAGGAATACAATACACCCTTTATTTTATACATATGTCCATTTCTGGTCATGTGGGGTAGTTGATTTTGACAAATAGCTTATAACAATTCACACAATGCATTGAAGTGTCCAAGTGAAAGGGTGTCCAGGAGACCAGAAAGATATTGGTATTAAGGAGTAATTCCAGGTACTATTGCAGTGGGAAATATCCTGAGTGACCGGAGAATGTTCAATATTGGAAGTGCTATACACCAATTGTTTCATTATTGAGAGATATTACTGTGGTAAAGTAATATCAAATAATATGCAGATAATACTGCTCTTATCGCATATAGTGAAGAGGTTCTACGAAAACTACAGTAGTTAACAGATTAGTGGAAAAAGGTGAAGAATATGGGTGAAGAGTGGACGACTGTGGTTGCCAACTCTTAGATATGAGGACGGTAATCTGATTGATTAACTCTATTGTGCTTTGTGTGTCTTGTGACTGATGTGAAAGTAATGACTTTTATTATCCTTTATACTTTCATTTATTCTTTATCGATAATCTATGATAAATGATTTGGAACTAATATTTTTTTTCATGAGAGGTCATATTTGTGGTGCTAGAAAGGAATTTAAGATACATATTTAGTATTACATTTTTTATCCATAGCTCTTGACAATATACCTGGTTGAGAGAATGGCAGTTTGAAAATTTAAATTATGATCTGAATTGATTAGGATGTGGCTTACTGATATTTTGTAAATCCATTTGAAGCTAATAATTTTAATGTAATTTCATTTTACAGGCGCTCACCCAAGAGATTATCAAGACAATTCGAGACATCATTGCCCTGAATCCACTTTACCGTGAGAGTGTTCAGCAGATGATTCAGCACGGACAGCGTGTGGTTGATAATCCTGTTTACTTGGCAGACCTTGGAGCTTCCCTGACATCAGCCAATCCTCTTGAACTTCAACAAATCTTAGAAGAAACACAGGTGATTGAAAATTTGTGTGTGTGCATGTGTACATTTGTTTGTGCATGCATATACAGTATGTGTTTTACTGTTTCAAAGTTTTTCTCACTTCATGCAAGTATTTGCAAATTAGCAAATACGGCTTGCCCTGACAATTCTCTGATTTTTAATTTGTGGTCCTTGATTATTCGCAGATGACACCTTGGATAGAATGTCTGCGGGTGGTTTTAAAATTGCCGACATTTTTGCCGCCGGGACAGGGAGCCATTTGTTCTAGAGATAGTAATTTATTTTACTTGTATAGTATTGTATATGTATGTGTAGAAACACACACAAAACACATACAAATAAAAAATAATGGGAAAATCCTCTCACAATGAGAAACAAGACAAAAAAATGTATTGAAATGTAGAAAAGTTGTGAGAAAGTTAACTCCATGCTTTGTTACTAAAGTTAACTGAACTTTAATAACAAAGCATGAAGTTGACTTGTTTCTAATTATTTGTGAGAGTATTTTCCCATTATTGTTTATTTGTACAGTATGTGTTTTGTGTGTGTGTGTGTGTCTACTCACACACACACACGTTTATACAATACAGGTAAAAGAAATAATTGTCTAAAGGCAAACACATAAAGGGAATATACATTTCTTTGTGTTATCAAGATGCCTATATTATCCCCCAAAACTTTGTTGTTCTAATACAATAATTTTTCTGATTTACCAGATTCCAGCACGATTGATGTTGGCTCTCTCACTGTTGAAGAAGGAGTATGAACTTAGCAAACTGCAGGCATCTATTGCAAAGGTTAAATTACTATTTCTTCTTGATTCCTAAATAGTGAGAAAAAAGGACATTATCTAGGATTGTAATAATTTCCATATATTTTTCACATTATTGTGCTCTACAAATAGTGACCCCTCTGGGACTACCACCTCGGTCGAGCCCAGAAGGAGCGTCTTAGTGTTAAGTAACAAAAATTTTGGAAATAAGGCTTGAGAAAGGTGTGTGTGTACAGTACTTCAATGTGTTCTGAATTGCAGGAGGTAGAAGAGAAGGTTCGGTCGCAGCACAGGAAGTACATGTTGCAAGAGCAGCTAAAAGTAATAAAGAAGGAGCTGGGTATAGAAAAGGAGGATAAAGACGCTATTGAAGAGAAGTTTCGTGCACGGTTGAAGGTATTTAGTAAAACATAATTTGTACTTTAAGCTTGATATAATCTAGGCGACTAGTTTTCTTCCCTTTTTTACTGAAATGGTTTGAAAATCCATACATTAGAATCTTTAATCGTGAAGTAGCCAGAAGCGAATACAATAGTCTATTTGTGTTATTTATGAGGTGCTAATTATTCAATTTATGGTTTTTTTTTTCATTACATTACAGGAAAAGGAAGTACCAAAAGCTGTTCAAGATGTCATCGATGAAGAGCTGACTAAATTGGGATTCTTGGATAACCATTCTTCAGAGTTCAATGTAACCCGAAACTATTTGGATTGGTTGACAATGCTGCCATGGGGTATCACTTCAGAAGAGAATCTTGACTTAAAACAAGCACGTATAATCTTAGATGAAGACCATTATGGGATGGAAGATGTCAAGAAAAGAATTTTAGGTAAAATTTTGGTCTTGACAGATTGAAAATATTCTTGATATAAGATAAAAAGAGAATTCGAAAGAATTCTTGAAATTTCATTTATAATTATGAAAAAAAATATATATATTTCTGCATCATATGAACATAAAAATTAAGGAAACTTTAGCAGGTCTATCACTCCTATATCTGTCCAATCTCTATTTGAAGCTATCCAGCGAGTTTGAGTTAATGATGGTGTTTGGCAGTCTGTTCCACTCATCCACCTCTCTATTTCCAAACCATTGTTTACCAATCTCATGCCTAAATCTAAATTTGACTAATTTAAAACCATGGCTACTTGTTCTCTTCTGGTTGAATAGTTTGAGTAATTTTGTTATACTGTATCACCTTTGTTTAACCCTAACTCCCATTTATACACTTCAATCAAATTGCCCCTTGCTCTACATCTCTCAAAGGATTGCAATTTCAGAAGCTTTATCCCTTTAATCAAGGTTCCTAATGCCTGGGATTTGCCTTGTCATCCTCCTCTGAATGCTTTCTAGGGAATCATTGGGATTAGGTTCCATGGACTCCTGCAAATTGTCAAAATCTGTGAATAGTATTACAGTAAAAACCCCATTATTCCAAATAATAGAGGCTCTAGCATATAGCCTTTATGAATTATGAGATTTTATGAAATATGAGGTACACCTCTCGAAGGATAAAAATAAAATAGTACTGGAGAATATTATGTTTAGTATTGTATACCAGTATGCTACCATTGAGCATGTGAGGTTGCAATAGGAAAGCATATTAGTTATTATCTTCTGTCCTCTATACTCAGAATTTGTAGCGGTGGCACAGCTGCGAGGTACAACCCAGGGAAAAATTCTGTGCTTCCATGGTCCACCTGGGGTTGGCAAGACTAGTATTGCTCGCTCTATTGCAAGGGCCCTAAACAGAGAGGTAAGTAATGTTTGGTGTTTCGTTCATAAAATTTTTAGGGAATGAATCTTTTTGTACAGGAGCATATTTGTACATCCTCCCAATGCTGGACTAAGTTGTGTCAGCCATTTCCCATAATGGAATGGCTTCCTTTTTTTTCTGCTGTGTACATATTAAGTCTATAATAATAAAAGAGCCTTTATGTGTCAGTCAGCACCATAGCTTCAAGATCAGCTATACACTGATGTAAACTCTATGAATAATGACTATTTATGCAAGCCCTGTGTTTTATTGGGAGGGTTTCCTTTTTCTCCCTTTCCCATTCATCAAAACTCACATTAGGTTTAAGCACTGTATTTTCAATCATATTTGGGGATATATAGCACCCACTGTTCTTTAATCATTTGTAGTACTGTATACTTCTAAAGGTCTCTCTTTCTTTTATTCAGTATTTCAGGTTCAGTGTAGGTGGTATGACGGATGTAGCAGAAATTAAGGGTCATAGGCGTACATATGTAGGCGCAATGCCAGGGAAACTTATTCAGGTAAGTTACATTTATTGATTTTTTCATGCACATGAGCCATTTCTTGTTAGTAATGTACATTAAGACCATCAAAACTGTCATACATTAAATGTCATAAATGCATATTTTATAAAATTATTTTACAACTTTAATCTTCCTAATTCAATAAATTACTAGAAATAGTGATTGTTAGCAATAATTATGGATATGCATATAGAACTTAAGAAGATATTGAAAACTGAAGTCCTGCTTGTATTTCTCAATCAATCAAGAATACCATCCAAAATTTTGTATCTGGGGACCCAGTCTCTGCCTTCCCCTGGCCCTCCTACCCTCAACTTTGCCCATTAATATTTCTTTTATTATCTCCTCATCCCTGATTATATGACATCCCATGTATTTGACAGTGGTTCATTCAAGACAAGGTAACACAAATCTGGGCACTAAGTGGAGTTGTATAATACCTTGTGTTTCTACATGCCATAAATTAGTATTTTCTAAATCATTGAAATTATTAAAGGAACTGTACAGTAATGTGTTTTACGAAATCTGAAAAATAAATTGTCATACATGAACATAATTGACCAAATACCATACAATTTCATAAGTACTGTACAGTACTGTATTTGAAGAAATAAGTTTTTGAAAAGTTAAGAAATATATTAAGAGTTTAGAAAACCTGACTGCACAATACTTCAGTTTTAATATGTTTGTTTTTTGATTTGTGGTTTATCAGTTACACTGTGAGGAATATATACCGGCTATTAATTTAATTTTATCTTTGAAGGAACAGGCTTCAAAACTAATGAATGAAGTAATTCTTTTTATCAAGTTGTAAATCTTTGTCTTATTAAAGTAAATTCAAGTACGTACAGTACAATACAGTATCAAGTATTTTAGATTATCTATTCTTGTCTAACTTATATACAATACTGTATATGGACATTACTTGAAATATACTGTATTTTATAAATTGGTCATTTTTCATGGTTTCTCAAATGTACAGTATTTTATTTTTATACACTGGTGGTTTTATAAATTTATGACATTTGTGATGTTTATAACATGATTTAAAACAACGACTTCTCATTAATCATTTATGACTCACTTTTTATCATTGGTGAGACATACAATATCTTTAGGAATGAATGGTTTAAGGTAATTATTTCTAATGTGTAATTGTACAGGAATATAACCCTTGCCTTATGTGGGATTGTATTGCATTGAAAATGTATATGATAATTAGTAGAGTTCAGTGCGTGCTTTCCAACTTTTATAGAAAGTAGGGCTATTACAAGACTGTACAGTAATTTTACCATGGGTATTTAATATTAACAGGGATTGGGTTGTAAGAGAACTGAAAGCATTAGTAATAGAGAGGGGCACAAGTCTGGGAAATTGAACTGTACAGTACAGTAATATGTGTTGCAAATGGGAAGTGAGTCATCTGGTTTTTGCTGCTGACACTGTTTTGGTTGCTGATTCAGAAGAAAAGTTGCAAATATATACAAACATGGTTGGATGAGTGTGTAGTAGGGAAGGGTCAGTATTGAACTGAACAAGAATAAAGTGATTAATCATGTAGGGAACGGACTAGGAGAAATAAACATTAGTTTGAATGGTGATATGGGGTAGTGGATGCACCAGGGAATGTAGGAATGAGTAATCACAGAATAGCCGAGGAAGAGAAAGTATCATTTGCATCGATAAATTAAAAGAGGAAAACTTGTCAAAGGAGACAGATACAGGGGACACAAGGGACTTTAACTGACATAATTGTATTGGTGGAAAGCTGGTGTGAAGTCTGGAACATGGATTCTCGAGAAAGAAACGGGTTGGAGGGACAGGTGGTGATGTGAATGAGATGCAAAGAATAAGGAACATAGATATTGTATAAAAAGGAGATCTGAAGTGAGAAGAGTATACAGTAGGAGGTACAGAAGTATTGAGAAACTGAGAAATGCTGTATTGGTAAAATTGATTAAGAGAAAACCGAGAAAGAGCTGGGAGAGACTAGATGGATATCTTAGTCCTTTGGGGAGGAAAACAGCATAACAGAACACATCTCTTACAGTAATTAGAAAATGAAGGATCACAAATGAATGAAGAGTCTTGTGTACACTCTTGATTCCTGCCTCCCTGCAGGAAAGGGCCTTCAAGAATGCATATAGACATTAAAAGTTAGTAGGAAAAATAAATTGCATTATAATTTGTTTTAAAGTACAGGAATATGTTTTTAAATTAATTTTTATTAGATTTTGTTTTTATTGACAGTGCTTGAAGAAGACCAAGACAGAGAATCCTGTGGTTCTTATTGATGAGGTGGATAAGATTGGTCGAGGATACCAAGGTGATCCATCAGCTGCCCTGCTTGAACTGCTTGACCCAGAACAAAATGCCAACTTCTTAGATCATTATCTCGATGTTAATGTTGACCTCTCCAAGGTAATTGTTCATGCTTGAAATTGTGTGAGAAGAAGTCGTAGTTCTGTAGAATTTTTTCACAGAATTTGATTCTTTTTAAGTTACATTACTTATTTTGGGTTTGATGTTTAATTTCTTGATTTTATTTGTGCTTGTTATCGTTTTGTTACATCAAGAGATTAAGTATTGAAATACATTTTACAGAAGCCAAATCAGGATTCTGTTAGCTCACAATTCACAAATGCTGTTTTATAAAAACATTTAGGTTTTCCAAGATTTCAAAACTACAGTAAATGCAGGGTTTTCAATATTTATATTTAAGAGGTGTAGTTTCATTCATCAGAGAAAGGAGGAAATGTAAGTGAGTATTCTTCCCGTTAGCTGGACCAATTGGTGCAGAGCGTTTCCAGGTTTGAGAGATTTATGGGCATAGGTGAATGTTTCCACTTCTAAACTATGCATCTGGCATGGAACACCATTGCTATGGAAGTCTAACTGCAGTCAGACAGACACAAAGCAGTACAGTATTTATTTATGCAAACACTACTGTATACATACAATACAGTACAGTAAACTCCCTTTAACCTGGACTCGCATAATCTAGATCCCCTTGCAAACTGAACTGGGATCCATTACCAAACACATGTATCCCCAAACCGGAAAAAGGATGACCAAAATCAGGTTAGTATGGAGGAAAGTTGGAGTGAGCGGGAGCTGTCACTGTGGTGACAAAGGAGGGTAACTCAGCAGCTGCCTCTGAGGAGGTGGTGATAAGTGAATAATTTAAGTTCAGTACTGTACAGTACTTTATTATTAATATGTACTATGTGCTTCTACTTTATCAGTAGATACAGTAAAGAATTCCAGAGGACGGGGGATTTCCAACTCAAGCTAACCTAAGAACATCAAATCTATTGTAATTTTTTAGCCTAGACTTAAAAGGATTAACTATAATTGAAAAGAAAAAAGTACCTGGTAATTAATGTATACGCACCTTTGTAAGTGTTCAGGCAGACATGTGATTAGTGTTTTACTTCATAATTTTGTTCATTAAATTGAATAGAAATTTAATAATTGAACTTCTGGTTAATTGGATACTCATTAAGTGTTGTCTTACTGTTTCAATATCTACATATAGTACTACCCTCTCATGGATTTGGTAGTAAGGTGATAGAGTAGTGGGAAGCAATGTGGGTCACAAAACAGGAATTTATGTGTTTAGTGAATAACATATTGTAATTTCCGAATACAGTACAGTATTATGGTTTAGCTTTATGTGTAATTTTAACCATTTCAATATTGTAGGTGTTGTTCATCTGTACGGCAAACGTCTTGCACACGATCCCAGAACCACTACGTGACCGGATGGAAATGATTGATGTGTCTGGTTATGTTGCAGAAGAAAAGATGGCTATTGCAAGCACTTACCTCATACCTGCTGCTGAGAAACTTAGTGGTCTTGACAAGGAAAGGGTAAGTTTTAATAATTATTTGAAGGTTACTGTTTGGTGAGTATAGATGTGATGTATTAATATCTAACTTGTTAATGATTTTTGTAATTATACTGTAGTAGATAATTTTTTTAGTATTTGGTAACAGAATCACATGCTTTGTTTTATTTTACTACTTTAAAGAAAAATCTCTAACCAATGGTCTCTCCTATAGAATTGGAATCCGTTTGACTCTGTTTTGATATAAATGATAGAAGCACATTTATCCTCTTTTGTTTTCTTAATATAAACAAAACTATCCTATTATATACTGTATAGATATACAAAGACACTCTTTCTGACTCAGAATAAATATATTCCCAATGAAATAAATTTGTAATTCAAAAATAGTATTGGCAGCATGAGGCAGGTAAAACAGAGAGTTGTGTACTATAACAAGGTTTATGTAAATTTGTCAGTAGTCAACATTTCTTTTTAGTGTTTATGATTCTAAATTTATCTTTAAGAATAAATATATGCTAACTTAATGATAATTGGTGATATCATATTTTAACAGTTATCTTTAGATGATTCTGCTGTGGACACATTGATTCGACATTATTGCCGAGAGTCTGGTGTCCGGAACCTACAGAAGCACATTGAGAGAATAATGCGAAGAGCAGCATATAACATTGCCAGTGGCGATTGTGAGCGAGTTGGTGTGACAGTTGACAATCTTGAAAGTTTTGTGGGCAAACCAAAGTTCAGCCATGACCGCATGTACCAAGAAACCCCTCCTGGTGTGGTCATGGGCCTGGCCTGGACTGCTATGGGTTAGTATTATTAATATTTTCTCTTAATTTTCCCAACCTTCTCCCACTATGCTACAAGGAGACCAGAATAAAGAGCAAAAACAGATTTACCTTTCATCCACTTAATGTTAACTGCTGTGAACACCCCTTAACTCTTAAACGCCGGGTTAGGGTGCCGCTGGCAGTACCCTCACACCCGGGGGTAAATGGAGAAAAATTTACTAAAAAAAAATAATTTTTAACGCTTTTAGCCCTTAAGCCCCTGGTTAGGGTGCTGGAACGTCACCCGGGGCCTAAGGGTTAAATCACCCAAAGCTCTTCTCTCCTGTCAGACATATAATATCCTGCTTCCTAAACGTCTGATCTCCTCTTGTCGTATTTCTTCGCCCTATTCTTACATCTCCTTCTTGGTCTTCTCCTCTTCCCCTTACCATCCATCTCTGAATTAAACTTACTGCAGTTCATACTAATCTTTCAATTCTTATTTTCTCATTATGTCCATACCACCTTAGCAAACTTTGATCTACTCTGGGACAGTCTAACACAGCTCTTTTCTACAATTCTGAATATAGTTTATGTTTCATTTTGACTGCATGCTCTCCACATCATTTCTGTTGTTTGTATTTTGCCTTGTCCTTATGCATCTAAAGTCCATACCTCATTTCTGTGTGCAATAAACCTTCGTCATTCACGGTTTCGACTATTCGCAGTTCATTCATTCCCTAAAAAAAATATATACATATACTGTACAGTACTGTAAATAAATATATAAATAATAATAATAATATATTGGTTGGAGACACAAAAAATAGTTCTGTGTTACATAAATAGTTCCTTTCCTTCTCATAATCATCCTCTGGGTTACACCATTATACCAATAAATAAATACAGTACAGTAAATATGTACCGGTAAATAAATAACAGAGACAGGCAGACGCTGGCCAGAGCTTTCTGGCTGGTCAGCTGTTCCCTTATGTAAACAAACTCAATAACTCATTTGGGGTCGAGTGTGGGATTTTTGTCATAAAATTTATTATTTTACAATAATATTTCATTAACCCGGCACCAACTTGAACCTAAAGAATATGTGAATTATGGTGAAATTGCATAATGTTATAAAGGAGTGGGAAATTTCCATTGGGTTCAGTCCAGCCACCTGCCATACACAATTCCCTTTCCACTTTATTTATTCTTATTTTAAACTTATTACATGGGTCATGTGTAGATGTTTTCAGCAGATTCCAGAATGAGGCTCAAGGCCTTTAAGATATGATGCTACAAGTGGATGCAGAAGATCAGTTCTGCTGATAAATAAGAACTGAAGTTCTGGAATAAGAAAAGTGAGATACTGTATTATGGTCACGTAATTAGGGATGAGGGGATAATGGCAAGGGATATTAATGGATTAAATTGAGGGTAGAAAGGAAAGCAGAAACTGATATGTACATATAGGTTTTGTACAGTTAAAAGCTGGGAACCCAAAGTTTGGAATAGAGTGCATGGCCTCAGCCTTCAGACATTACAATGGCACCTTGATTGATTGATTGCGATGAAGGTAACATAAATAATTTGAATATGATTGTTAATATTTATTAATATGGAATTTCAGGTGGGTCAACTTTGTATATCGAGACAATGGCACACGCCGTGGAGGGGGAGAAAGAAGGACGCTTGGAAACAACTGGTCACCTTGGTGATGTTATGAAGGAGTCTACACGTATTGCTTATACTTTTGCAAAACATTTTATAGCAAAAAAAAATCCCGACAATCGAGTTATTGATAAATCCAACATTCATCTTCATGTGCCGGAGGTAAGTGTGCTACTTGCAGAAGTATTTGTAAAGTGAGGGGGGCCAATAATTTCATTATATCATGTACAGGTAGTTTATCTAAACAAGCAACACGTCTTGGTATTTAACACAAGGACCCCTGTAATGTGTACAGTGGGCTATGTCTTGTGGTGTTAAGCGAGCTGTTTATTCATCAAGAGTCTAAGGACATATAAAAGATTTTCAGACATCAATCTGTTTTCTATGATAATAACCATATTTCAATATTATTTTCATGCATTAGGGAGCAACACCAAAAGATGGGCCGAGTGCAGGAATAACCATTGTGACAGCACTAGTATCATTAGCACAAAATAAGTCAGTGCGACAAGATGTGGCCATGACAGGAGAAGTTTCTCTTACTGGCAAGGTGCTTCCTGTTGGAGGAATCAAGGAAAAGACTATTGCGGTAAGTACAGTACCGTTTAAAATTTTCATGAATGTTTATTTCGGAGTACACTATTAGTATTAGTTGCTAAATAAATGCAGTAATTACAGTATTTGTAAGCAAAATAGACTTCAGTGCTGACCATTCCTCCTGCAGCACCCAGTCTTTGCCTCTAAACCTTTTTATGTTAACTTTCTCAACTTTCCTGGCTACAATCATTATCTTTCAGACATTTTAGCAACAGTTGTAATCATAAAGTAAGTAAACTGTAAAATTACAGTATTGCTACTGTATTTCTACTAACCAGAGATGGTAGTAATTTGTGTGTAAGGCACCATTTCAACTAAGTATGTAACAACCTCTAGTAGACCTTGCAATATCATTTTTTTTTTCTCGAAATTTATATTTATCATCTTTCAGTTTTTAAAACAACTTTGTAATGATTCTATGCATTTTAATAGAACATTGTAGTGAAATGCTGTAAGTAGGAGTAGTGTAAATAGAGGACCTGCCCTGTCACCTAGATTGTGGAACTCCTGAATTTATACAACATATAGAACAGTAATTTCTCATCTTCCTTTGCTGCTTACTTCCAAATAATAGGATTTTTATCTGTTTTTGTTTTTTCAGGCTAAACGCGTAGGAGTGAAATGCATTATTATACCAGCAGAGAACAAGAAGGACTTTAGTGATCTCCCTAAATTTATATCAGAAGGTCTTGAGGTCCATTTTGCTGATCATTATGAAGATGTATTTAATATTGTTTTGCGAGAATAATTTATAAAATAGAATATTTGCCAATTATACAATATTTTTACAAATGTAGTAGATAAATATTGTGATAAAAGTCAATTGTAAAGCAGCTTTCAACCTATGACTTGTGAGATATTGCTCATTGTACAAATGTGTTCTGATGTATATAATTATATATTTTATTCATTAATAATACAGGAGTGCTTCGATTTACGAAAGGAATATGTTCCTGAAAATTATTTCATGAATAGAAGCCATTTTTCCTATTAACTACCATTTTATAAAGGGAGATACGTTCTTACAAAAAAAAAGTCCACCTAACTTAAAAATAAAATTTTTTAAGCAATATTATGTAGGAAACAATACTTATAAGCATATGTGTTAATCATAATAACATTAATAAAGCAATACATGGTATCAAGTTTATTTAATCCATATTACTGTATTATATTCTACTTATGGGAAACTGTATTCAGCGGCATATGACCTAAGCTGTTGCGTCACCAGGGATGTAATCACCACAATCAGTCAATCGGTTACAGGAAACTGTAGGTAGTTGGTGCTTTGGGTGATGGTGTGGTAGGATGGTAGTTGGTGGGGTGTAAAACATTACTGTCTGAGGATCTACCTGTACTATCATCATTATTATGTTGATTGGGGCCTATAAAACACTGATAGCATTTGGTGGCACATCCGTGGTCACAATCGAGATTATTGGATGTATCCCCTTCATTATCAAATTCCTCCTCCTGTTGTGTGGGGCGTGAGTTACCATGTTCTTGTCGGTACGGGTGTGGCAGAGGCATAGATTTATCAATTTCTTCCTCCATATCAATATAACTGAAATAATCAGTTGTTAATGTCTGGCTCTTATTTGGTGGTTGGTTAGCCTTACTTTTAGATCAATATACAATAGCATCTTCATTTGACAACCGTATGGTATACTGTACTGTCTGTACAGTACAGTATACAGTACTGTATATATGAGCACAAAAATGTTACCACACATTAGCTTGTACCTGTACTACATTATAGTGTATACTGTCCCTGTTCAGCACAGGATGTTCTCAGATGCCTGTGTCTGCAACTCAGCATCTTCCGATGGTACGAAAAATACTGTAAATTAATTTTTTTCTCGCAAGACTGGGGTTTTTGTTTGTACACCAAAGTGCTGGAACAAAAAAAAATCTTATTAGCGAATTTTCGCAAATCAAAGCTCTCCTGTACAGATAATGCATTGACTTTTAACAATACTATTTTTTAACTGGTAACAATAGAAAATCCTTAATATAGTTTTGTTTCAATTTTGATTTATGAACAATATTAACTAATGTTATATAGTGTTTAAAATTATATGTTGTATTGTACTAGATAAATTGTGTAGTTACCCAAACATACTAATTAGTATAAAAAATTGGAAAAACGAACCTACAATATGTAAAGTATTTCTGAAAGGGGAAAATGGTTCTCTGTGTAAGCACAAAGTATGACGGTTCTGCCCCAAGTATTCATTTCCACTAGTGTCAGTGGCCGTTGGAAAGAAAAGTTTTATCAGATCTGTTGGAGTCAGAAATGGACAAGGAAGCAGAGAAAAAAAAAAATTATAACAATATGCAGGAGAGTCCATGTTATAAGCAGCCTAGGTGTGCTGTATATGAGGAGGATGATCTGCAGCAGACTCCAGATATTGGTGGGTTCTTGGTTGCTTTAGACAATGTAGTTATTGCATATGGTAACGATACTGTGGCAGCCCTAGAGATAGCTGTGAGATGCCTTAACAATATAAAAAATGCAAACCAGGTGAACAGTTCTGCTACACAATTTAGGAGGTAACATTTTAAGCAGGGGAGCTGGTAAAAGGAAAATTCTTTGCCAGAAGGGGACCAGGGAAACCAAGAGGAGCAACCCCTCTGGGTACAGGACGGTGACCAGATGGCTTGCCAACACCAAAAGCAAAATGGCTATGAAATTTATGAAAGAACATTTTACAAAATGGGGGTGGCCATTAGGATAGCAGCATTATTGAAAGCAAACTCTGTATATACTGTAGTACATGAATAAATACATATACAGTATACAAATAAATATATTTGTTAGTTTCTATATACAAGCTCCATCTGTCTTGTTTGGGGAATCATGTTGTTACTGAAGGTCACTCAACATGGAATGATTGATTCAACAAAAATGAAACATGACCATATAGGAAGGACAGTGGATATATACTGTATATGCAGTATATACCGGTAACATTGTCGTGAAGATGATAAAAAGCCACCTGATCAATGAACTACTCGCATAGAAAACATTGTACAGAAGAGCTGGGCGTCAAAAGGATGCAATGGAAGGTCCATCGCTAATGTATTGTGTGAAACTTGAAAGTCTGAGAGCTTCGAGTTTGTTTGTAGATGTGCGAATCGATATGATTTGGTTAAAGTTGTCCGTTAAAAATCATGCTTTCTTTTTCCTGTCTTGCCCCAAGGCAGCTTGTGCAGTGATATACTGAAATTTCGTATGGTGCTAAAATAGTGTTAGACTTCGGGAATATGCTGTTGGGACTCGCTTGAAAATACAGAAAAAATCATTGGGATCATGTAAAGACTAGCCCCAAGGTTTTTAACCTGATGATTAAACACCACACTAACTGAGGGAGGTTAGTTTAGATTTTGTTAAATTAGGTTAGATGATGTTAGGCTAGGTTAGGTTAGATTAGCTTTGATTTACTTGGCTTAACTTAGTCAGGCTTGGTTAGGTTAGGTTGGGTTATGAAGGATAATCACCTATTTATATAACTACTAACAACTATAACATTATCTACTGTAGTCTATTATAAACTCTGCAGATATCAAAGAAAACGGAACCTCTCGGACTTCATATCGTCACTAGTGCCCACTTGCTCAGTTACTGGGTGTTTCACAAATTTAAAATGGGTGATATAACTTTCCATCACTTTCCGAAGGATAAAGAACTGAGGAGAAGATGGATTCACTTGCACAAGAGGGGACTCAATAAATGCTGAAAATGCCTTAATATGAAGCTTGCATTTTGAGGCCAGTGTGTTTGAAGAGAATTTGAAATATAACCTGCTTGGATTATCAGTACCAAGAAGAACAATATCACCATTACAACTGCCATGTTGAAAAGGTAAGCCTATATTACCGGTATTTCAGCAACAACAACAAAAATAGGAGTGTTATAATAATGTAGCCTATTGTGTCAGCAAGTAAATGTATAGTATCCCAAAACAATTTAGAATAGCTTTAATATACGATATTTCATAGCGGCAGCAAAATACTATACACAGCTTCTTTTGAAGGAGTGTCAGTTTTACTTTCCTCATTCACAGCTTGCTTCTAGGAATACGAGGGGATCCCTACACATGAACCATGCAGCGGTTGACAAAATTAAGAAGAAAACCCAGAAATTCAAGACGTGGGTTGGGTGAATCGATGAGCTAGACAGGAGGATGTATGCAAGAGCCAGAAACCAAGCAAAGATAGAGTGTAGAAGGGCTGAAAAGGAGTTCTAGAGGCTGGTTGCAAACGAGGTCAAGTCAAACTCAAAGGCGTTTTCCCGCTATGCAAAGTCGAAATTGAAAACGCGAGTAGAAGTATCAGATGTGAGGCTTGTGGATGGTAGTTATGCAGATTCTGACCAGGATAAAGCTGAGGCATTGAATAGCTTTTTTCCTTCGGTGTTCACAAGAGAGGATGCCACTAACCTTCCTGCGTTTGAGGACAGACGGTTCGACACAGCACTGACCCACATTGTGTTCACAGAAGGGGGTATTAGATATAAACTGTCCAGGCTAAAGGTCAATAAGAGTCCCGGCCCTGACATAGTGCATCCTTGAGTGCTAAGAGAGTTGTGCAACGAGCTTGCAGAGCCCCTGAAGATCCTGTTTTGTAAATGCCTGGATGAACAAATGGTCCCCAGTGAATGGAAAGTGGCTTATGTGAGTCCTATCTTTAAGAAGGGCGATCGGCACTCCACGAACAACTATAGACCGGTGAGCCTGACCAGCATAATCTGTAAAGTACTTGAGAGTATTATCAGAGATGCCGCAATGGAACATCTAATACGAAACAACCTTGTAAACGATTGCCAACACTGTTTTATGCCGGGGCGCTCCTGCTTAACACAATTGCTCAAGTATTGGATATTTGGACCCATATTCTGGAACGGGGTGGTAATATCGACATTATTTATCTAGATTTTGCCAAGGCTTTCGACAGTGTACCCCACGAAAGGCTGAAAATCAAGCTGGAAGGGTATGGAATTTGGGGAAATGTCCAGGAATGGTCGAAGAAATGGCTGCTGAGATTCAATGTCACGAAGTGTAAGAGGATGCACCTGGGGAGTACCAAAGGTAAGGAGGCATATCATATGTCCCAACGGGATGAAGAAACTGCACTAGTTGAGACAATGTGAGAAGGACCTAGGTGTGAATGTTGACAATGAGCTGAAGTTCTCGGGCCATTGCGAGAAGAAGTCAAACCAGGCAAATAAGTTATTGGGTCTTTATAAGAAGGTCGTTCAGATATGTAGACGGTCCGTCCCTCGTAATGATCTTTAAGAGTGAAGTGCTTCCCCATCTGGAGTACTGTCACCCCGTCTGGTCCCCGAGATATGCTAGGGACTGTCAGTTGGTTGAAAATGTTCAAAGGAGGGCCACCAGACTGGTTCCTGCACTTCGGCACCTCGGCTACCCTGAGAGATTGGAGCGCCTGAACTTGCCTAGCTTATACTACAGACGGGCAATGGGGGACCTAATTGAGGTGTATAAGCATCTCGGGGCACTACTCAGTTGAGTGTCCTTACTTGGAGCTGGCGGACGCTCTCCCCACAAGGGGTCACAGCTCAAGATTGAAGAAGCCACAAGTCCAGAAAACTGTGAGGGCAAACTTTTTCGGAGTGAGAGTTGTAAGCTCTTGGAACAATATACCAGAGAGTGTTGTGATGGCACCGAGTGCGAGCTCTTTCAAGACCAGACTTGACCAACACTGGAGCGAGTTCAGGTACATTCAGGAGCCGGTGCATGCCCAGTATTTGCCAACAGTGCGTGACAGAGACTTGACCGATCGCCCGGGCGGCGAACGAGTCGATCAGTGGCGAAGAGGAAAAAGTAAAAGTAAATGACCATTGTCATTAGAGAAGAACACTTTGTAGTTGAATGTTGGAGGGAGGTATAAGATGGCGTGTGCGAAAGCAACAAATATGTCTGCAGTCAATTTTTTAATTGCTTTTTTCACACCAACTAGTTATCAATGGACGTGGAGGTAGCAAAACCTCCTGTCCTCTAATACGGTATAAGCTTTCGTCATGACCCTCTTACAGACTTTAAACATTAAATTGGACGGAGTCTATTGAAAATACAGAACCTAATAAAACAAATTTTTCGTATTAGCTTTGGTTACC